GAGCAATACGATTTTGGTTGTTATCATGTACAAGTACAATATTATTTGCTATCAATTTTATATTAAGTACATGTATCCACATTAAATCGAGTGTAATCATACACTCCCCACCATAAGTTTGGCAACCTTAGCTCCCCCATTGAACTACGTGTTAAAGCCTCTCTACGTTTGAATTTTTATTTACTTAACCGACGATGAAATAACTTATAATATTGATGGAAACGTAACTTGACCTTATTTCGAATACCTCCAAATTAAAAAATCTAAAAAAATTCCTTTATTACAATAGGTCGAAAATTGATGATAAATTTGATGGACTTTTGAAAATCGTCATTCCCATGTAATCCAATGGGAAATGGAGGGTTCGGGGCAAATCAGAAATCAGGATATCTTTTCAGTAAAAGATCCAGCAAAAATATTTTTATATAGAAAATTGAATTGTCAAACTTTTTTCTACACTAAGTGTTTAGTTTATTTGATGAATACTAGGGTTACAGCGCTTCAAATTTTTGAAAATAATGATTTGCCTCCTGTGTTATTTCAATGGGAGAGTTTTTTTGAAATTTTGACTTTAAAGCCCTATAACTTTGTTGAACCTGAAGAAACATATCAATTTTTTGTTAAATAAAGTTAGCAAATTCAATTGCCTACCTAACTCGTATTTTTGCAAGGACTCGGATGGATGGATATTCTGTCATATGACCTACCTACCATTTCCCATTGGTTAACATGGGAATGTCGATTTTAAAGAATTCATCAAAGTTATCATCAATTTTCGACTTATTGTTATTTAGGAAATAATTGAGAAAATTTGATGGTATTGGAAATAAAGTCAAATTACGTTTCCATTAATAGTATACGTATTTTCATCGTAGGTTAAGTAAATAAAAATTCAAAGATAAAGAGGCTGTAACACGTAGTTCAATGGGGTAGCTAAGGTTGCCAAACTTATGGAGGGGAGCGAACAATAGAAAGGTTGGCATAGTCTAGACATTGGCATAATCACCCAAATTCAAAAAATGTCCCAATTCAGGTTTGAAAAATCTGATTTTTGAAGTCAGAGTAGCATGAACATAATTTAGGAATCTTTATACATGTGTGTTATTGCCCCGAACCGGTCCGTCTTCTCGCTGCAAGCAGGAGGAAATTCTTTGTCACAAAGTTTGGCATTTTTTATAAAATCAAACGCGCGTCATTGAAACTCACAAGATGTAAATAGCATGTCATTTACATCATACCTTGATGGGGAAAAATAGATCTTACATGTTAGAAGTACTAAATAAAAGTTATCGTGAAAATGAGACAGTCGTTCTCGAGAGAAAAAGAGCATAAATGCGCATTTAGAGAGTTTTGGTCTGTTTAAAAATCTGTAAAAAATTGGGGTACTTAAAAGCATCGGGAGGCATCATATATTTCAAATTAGACACGAGGAAGTCAATATTGAGCAAGTTATGGCTGTTTTAAATTCAAATAAAACCGTTAACCCGTACCGGTCCAGCTTTTGACCCGTACCGGTCAATTTTCGTTAGCTGCGTATACCAAGGGTGAATATTCTATGAATAAAGCATACTCTAATATATATCCCCGGTCCTAGTGTATCATAATTATTCGTTCCATAACTAATTTGATGTATTAGTCATGAATTAATACGATTTAAACGTAAATATGCGAATTTTGGCCTTTTTGAATGTTACCTAATGACGACCAAATCCTCTAGTTTTGATGGAAATCAATTGTGAACAAAAATACCAATGCCACATATGTTTATAATCCTAACACAGATAACTGAATTCATCGTTACGTACATAACGATAAATTCACCCATTGTAACAAGTGTTATCGAATTCCCAAGCTATCAAAAATACAACCGAGCTAGTTTTATGCAATATTAAACTATTTTATCATAATTTAAACTTAGTTTTGTGTATGGATATTCTGTATGATCGGCAAAATAAGTAAATTTCATCAGATCTCGTCTGTGATGGATATTTTCTTATATGTGTGAATTTTCATGCGACAGAAGTGCAACATCCAATTTTTAAGCAACGTCAGACTCGAACACACTTACGTCATACATCTAAAACCAATAATAATGCCGCATTTTAGCGTTATAGTTATAGTCTCGTATTCATGGTAACGAATAATACGGTAACACTGATTTCGAACGTATGATTAATTGGACTTTTTGCTTATTGCAAGAGGGCTACACAAACTCCAAGTAGTTGATTTATATTGTTTGTTTGATATCATTTTATGGAAAGAGTAAAAGCTTATGCCAAGTGGTCAAACACGTTTTTCTGATGGTAACGAACATTTTTTTCTTAAAACGAACTCAAGGCACTGGCTTGTTTTTACAAGCAAATGAGAAAAAATGCAGACACACCTCGGACTTAACGCATGTTCTCTATTGAAAACATAAACAATCTTTTAAAATTACATTTTCTTTCATTTCATCTCAATTCCAGACTCATATAATTGGAATGGGTGAACCAAATAACGATGTTTTTTCTGAATTTTCTGAAACTGGCGACACCCCTTTGAAAGGCTGTACAAAATAATATATCGTTCAAGATGGGTTTTGCTTATCACTTCTCTTAGAAACATGTAGTGGCGAAGTAAATTAGTTTGGAAATCGAATAAAATGTGATAATAAATACCTGTAAACATGACTTGAAAATCAAAATTCAAAATGGCGACAGTAACGAATGATTCATTTTGACACTTTAGAGCCCTGGTAAAAATACATTTATGAAATTCTCATTCAAAAATGAATGTTCACATATGGCCTTGAGGTTATTGATGAAATATATACAGAAATTAAAGATACACCACTAATATTTTCCGAGATAACATACGGCGACATCAATTGGGACATTTTTTTAATTTGGGTGAATGTCTGAGTATAATAAGCATTAGTTTTCCTCATCTTAGCGATCAGACTATGATGGCTACCATGTACAAGTATAATTCCATATGGAGGTTTTATATTTAGTACAAATATCATCATGAAATCTAATTTAGTCATACAATAGAGAGGTTGGCATATTCTAGACATTGGAATAATGTCTAAATATTTTAAGCATTCGTTTCCATCATCTGAGCAATTAGACTATACATGTGTAAGTACAATTTTATATTCAGTACATATATCAGCATGAAATCGAATGTAATCATACAATGGAGAGGTTGGCATAGTCTAGATTTTGGCATAATGTCTAAGTTTTATAAGCATTGACTTTCTTCATCTAAGCAATCTGACTTCTTTGGTGGTCATCTAGCAGAAGTACAATGCTATAAGTAAGTTAAATATTTCGAACATGCATCATTATGAAATCTAATGTAATCATACAATACAAAGGTTGGCATAGTCTAGATTTTGGCATAATGTCTAAATTAAAATTTAATTAATTTAGAGTTAAATTTAATAAGCTAAATAAAGCTAAATAAGTTTAAAGAAACATTGTAATTTGAAGAAAACGATTGAATGTCAAAATAACCTATATTTCTGCCAGACTATGTCAAATTCTGAAACATGCAATTCTCACAATTTAATACTGAGAAGATGATTTTTCTAAAAAACTCCAAATCAAAACATTTTATTTGGTATTTCATTTTATAAAAGAGGCGTGTTGATTCATAATGACCTTATGAACTTACATTTAGTTACTGAATTGAAAAAAGATATTAGCAAATATTTTGGAATAATGAAATGCTTATTTAATCATGGTGCACAAAAAAGTCTTTATGGCTACGTGAATACTCTCTGACGATAGAAGTGACAGATGATAAACATAGGCTGAAATTCCAAAACGCCCTTATTGAAATAACATAACATCTATTGTACTCCGTAGGCTCTAAAATTAAACCTTTTTCAAATTGCAATGCCTTACAACAAAGAACACCTACTGTACATGTAGTGCTGAAAATATTTGTTCTTTCTTTGAATTGAAAATAAAAAATTCAAAATTCAAATTCAATTCTGACCCCAAAATCGTCATCCCCTTTATTTGGGAATAACTATATCTCAATTTTAAATGACTTTTCATGATTTTTTGTGTAGATAGAGAGTTTAATGCATAAATCATTGGAATTTACCTAATAAGCAGTCAGTGCATCATATCTGACAAGATTGTTGATTAAAGGGTAGATTATAATATGTATGAAAGCAATCCAGAAATGGCTCAAGTAATGGCTAAGACAGGAATCTCAATTTCAGAAAATTGCATTTTCAATTTATTTGGACAATATCATTAGACCATACCTGGATGGAAAATGTGATCATTTTAAAACTTGGAATTTAAACAGTCTATCTACGCAGATAAATAAAAAACATATTTGAGTTTATAGGTCAATTTTTCTAGGTCAACCTGTATATGAAGGTGTACACGTGAATTAGGGAGCACGCGCGTTACAAATGTCCATTGACATTTAGCAAAAGTAGAACTCCTTTGAGAAATCGTTCATTCATTATATATTTATTCAATTCAAAAAGTATACAGTGTACAGTAGTTACAACAGTCGCTGCCTAGCACATGACTACACTTTATCAATGGGTCGAGAGGATTGTGTTACACTTTTAAAGCATGCACTGAAGGGTGAAAATGGAGATGATTTGAAGATTAATCTGTCTGTTCTTACGTGTGGAAATGATAGCATTCTTACGGAACAAATAATAGCTTTGTCCATACTCAATTAATTCCGAAAGAACATGTTTAATATAAGGTACCATGTTTCACACTTTGTATCAACAACGTATATTTAAACATACTAGCTTTTAACAGAAAATTATATACCTTAAATTTAAAAATAACAGTTGTCATTATATCAAAAAGGGTCCTCTGAATCAATACTATTTTTAGATTAGAAATGTTTTTTCTTGTATGTGGGCAGATGAATCACAAATGACAAGAGACACATAATTCCAGAGCAATTTTAAACATCTGTTGATTTTATTAAGGGCATATTGTAGGCAAATATAAATATATATAAAAATATTTTGCAGATGCTTCTGAGTTTTATTACGGGCGGTTGTGCTGTTTATTGTTAAAGGAAGGCACTGAGCAGATACGAGAATATTTGCTGAATAATTTGCCATTAGGGTTTGACAACATATTCGATGTGTTGCACAGCAAACGTTATAAAATGCAGTTACGCCTGCTACGAGAAAAAGAGATACCGACACAGAATCGGTTTAACACTCTATACCCTCCATCTTGTACGGCAGATCCCTTCGTCTTTGACCAGAAATTACTGTTCATCTTGATCAAACATCTCATCCCACAGGTCGACATAGACTGGCGCAAGTATCCACAAGAGGACAAGCTATAAAAGCCAGAGCATTACGTCATCAGATTGAGACATCTACATCATCGGCTTAAACCCAAATCTAAAAAAGATCTAAGCCAAATTGATTGATTTTTAGTGATCAAGATCTGTATTGTACAGCATATTTTCAGTGGAAATAAAGATGGATATATATATAAAAAAAGACGAGAACTCTTCTTACATAACAAGTCAAGCCTTCTAGCCTTCATTAGTCTTGACCAGACAAAATCATTTGAGGTAAGAAAGGTGTGCTATTGGTGACTAGTGCTGATAATTTGGTTCATTTAATATAAAAACAGTTTCTCATTTTAGATTCAACCTAATTATGGCATATTTTTCAAAAATACGAGTCATTTTTTAAAAATTTGCCTCGTTTTGGATATTGTAGCATCAATCACCACAAAGGTTTCACACCCGGTATTAATTTTCAAAATGACTTCATTTCTCCGCTCCTTGTGGGCCTGTCATTTTCACTCCATACAGACTGGTCGCTTAAAATACGATGTAAAGATAAAGCCGCAACGAAATATTTGTAGATTTCTTTGAAAAACTAAAAAATGTACATCATATATTGAATTTTTCCAAACAGAAAAAATCCACCTGGTAGCATGAGCATGAGCATTGGTCTCTCATGCGATTATTATTTGCATCACAACTGGGAAATAATAAACTGAGAAGTATAATTTGGTGTGTCAAGAGCCATCCTGTGGCCATCTATTTTGATTCATTATTTTTACATAAAAACATTACATAATATTTTCTAACATTACATAATATTACACATATTAACAATAGTATAAATTCGTTTACATTGTCTTACATAATTGTATAAAGTATTACATAACCTTACATAATGTTTGAAATGGACGCTAAAAAGCCGTAACCTACTGTAAATTAGATTTTTTAAAAGGGTAAGTAAGGACTGTACAAGCTTACTTACACATGGTGACATCTATGTGAAAGTCTCTTTCTCAAATAGGTTTGCGAAAAATAGGACATAGTTAATAGACTAGATGCGAGTAGATATGATCTTGATTTACGTCATTAGATATACAAAATTCAGTCAAAGTGATGTCATATTTGAAATCTATGAAAATTGAACCACTAAAACCTATGTAATTTAAGTTAAAGGGAACTTTCTACTATATCCGCCATGCTATCTGACCCGAGCGAGCCACCTGGTGGTGAAACTGGTAACTACATGTACCTACTCGCATTTGCGTTATTATTATTAGTACAACGTGAATTTCAACATGATACATTGGTGTTATTGGAGGTAGAATCTGGGAAAGGAGGAGGGTTATAAATAGTGTTCTTTCTTATGTTATATAATATTTTGTTAATATAACAATGCTGAACAGATCCGAAACTATTTACTGAATAACTTACCTTCTTGACAACACATTCGACGTGTTACACAGCTAACCCCCCTATCACACCAAGAGGAAAAGCTCATGTCAGAGCATGACGTCATCAGATCGCGCCATTTACGTCATCGGCTTATACACAAATCAAAAAGGCAAGACGAATTTGACCAACTTTTCAATGAACGATTTCAGTTTTATTGAGAATGGGGCAAAGTCCGGGATCCATGTACAATATCAATATCCGATGTTCCAGACCTGAAGCATGCAGTGGCTGATCCAAGGAGGGGGGTTCAAAAAATTGTAGGGCCTCAAAAAATGGCCCCTGGTGGCATAATTTGGCTTTTTAAGCCAAACTTTCATAAAATGGGCCTTCAGTGTTCAAAACCTTTTGACTCAAAATTTGCCCCTCCCCCTCCTTGATCCGCCATTGGCATGAGTATTCGAAAGCAGTGCAAAACTAAAGAAGTCAGTCCAATCATTAATAATATCTCATTTTTGATTGGCCTGACATTGGCTACACTTTCATGATCGGCAATAATGGTGTCGTCTACGACGGAGTGGAATGGGGTGTTAGGGTATCGCATTCTCTGGGGTAAGATAAGCTGCATTTTATTAATGAACTAATTATACATAATCACGATTTTTGTATGTTTTTGGTCAAAAAGTGAGCATTTTTATTATGCTGTCTCCTTTTAATGACCTACATGTAGCTGGAAAAACAACTTACACCATTTGAATTGCATTTATTGCTGATTTAGGTATAAGACAAGAGAGCCATTCTCTTCTCTGGAGTTAGCATGCAAAATTACCTAATGTACGGTCACTGCCAGATGGAACCTTTCCTGAGTCCGTGAAAAACCCTATACAATAACCTGATGTGAGGCAGTTGGCCTCACTGGGTAAGCGAACAACAAGTACGTGTATTCTAATCATCTGCTTTGGTCCGTGTTTCGACTTTTAATTTAATACTAGTTTTTTGTTGAACCGGTAGACAGGAATTGCAAAGCAAAATTTACCATCAAACCATAGCGTGACTTTTGAGAAGCACAACTTCTCTACGCAATCACACGCGATGCGTCGAGTCTAACGAACAGCTATATGATCGGCCCTTGTATAAACGTTATATACATCGATTTATTCGTAACGATTAATAATAATATACATATATGTAATTTGTAAAATATCGCATCGTACCGTCCGGCGCAAAAGTTGGAAGAGATTTCTGCTTCGACAAGAAACCTCCACTCAGTTGGTGTCAAATCTAGCATGAGCAATAACAATGTACATGTCCTACACCGGTTTGGTATCGCAATCAAAAAATTTTATCCCAAAGGGAAGTCTGTCTGAGATTTTTTATTTGAAAACGTTAAACCTTCTAACGTATGTACACAAAGTGTAACCCTACTATCACACCAAACTAGTTCTCACTACGTTCTCGAAAACGGGCTTCAACTGTGTACGAACGGACTGGACGTACTTAGAACCGTTTGGGGTCTATTTACAAACTTCATCGAACGTACTCGAACGGGTAGGTCTTCTAGAACTTAGAACATGCTCAAAATGTTCTCGTGGTCGTCACGTTCTACAATTAGAACGAGTGACAACGTACTAACGACGAGCTGGACGTACTACGAACGGAACCGTCGTACTTCAATCCTACTAGGGACGTTTTTACAACGAGTTGAACTGTCTGAGGACGTATTGAGAACGAGGCAGAACTAATTGCAAACGGGTTAAAACTGAGTAAGAAGGTATTAAAGACTGCTTATGAACGAGTTAGCAAAAATATAGCTATCACACCAAACAAGTTGCCACTGCGTTCCTCAAAACTGGTTTTAAACGGTGTGCGAACGGAATGAACGTAGCTGCAACTTTCTAAGGTCTATTTACGAACTTCATGAACGTTCTCAGACGGGAAGGTGATTCTAGAATTTTGAATCGATTCAAAATTCGATGGCGACCATACCGTTCTGTAATCAGGTCATGATGACCTTCTAGACGAAAGGACGCGTTATACGACGTTGCACACCGATCGTGGTACGACCTGAACGAACTGCAAATGAGATGGACGTATTGAAGACTGTTTATGAACGAAGTAGCTAATTATTTTAGAGATATTTCCCGACCACAGCCAGATTGAGCCCGTTTTACGACGTTTTCGTAGGACTGGCAAGAACGGGTAAGAACTAGGGTGATAGGGGGGTAAGTAAATACGAGTGTCGGAAAATACCAATAGTACTTGCGACACTTTGTACAATTCCAATACCAATTTCCAATTCCCCTACTGTACTGCTTGTATTGATGTAACATTCTTCAAAGTATACCTGGTGATTCGTACTATTTATTTATACGCCGACATACGTAGGGTATCATGTATTAGACTTTTTAAATGTACAGTTTTATCACCATATCACTATTATGTTGTAATGGCTTTAGAGATATTAATTGTCATATGAATAAAATTTATATATACTACAGTTAATTTATGATATTAAGTTCACATGGGCCAATGAATACGATTAACAAAATCAACAAAACGTTTCCTTATAGACCTTGAAATTCGCATGTTAATTGCAATACACATGAATAAGATACGATAGGGTTACTAGAGAAGTTTACATGGCATAGTCCACTTGTGCTGGTAAAATTGACTGTTTTTATAACTAGCAATTATCTTGATAAAACGTGTTTGATTTGAAACAAAAGTGTTTCAAATTAACTCGTCTGGTCAACGTACATAAAAATCAGATAGTTGAGGTCTGCAGCATCCTCCTGTTACGTCATTCATATTCACCATAGAGATCAACAACCTCTGCCATACCTCGAGCCCTACCATTTTGAACTAACCCTACTATCACTCCGAACTAGTTCTCACTACGTTCTCGAAAACGGGCTTCAACTGTGTCAGACGGACTGGACGTACTTAGAACCGTTTGGGGTATATTTACAAACTTCACCGAACGTACTCGAACGGGTAGGTCCTCCGTCGTAATTCAATCCTACTAGGGACGTTTTAACAACGAGTTGAACTGTCTGAGGACGTATTGAGAACGAGGTAGAACTAATTACAAACGGGTTAAAACTGATTAAGAACGTATTTATCAACGAGTTAGCAAAAATATAGCAATCACACCAAGCAAGTTGCCACTACGTTCTTCAAAACTGGTTCTAAACTGTGTGCGAACGGAATGAACGTAGCTACAACGTTCTACGGTCTGTTTACGAACTTCATGGATTTTTCCCGGACGGGGAATGCGATTTAGAATTTTGAATCGATTCAAAATTCGATGGCGACCATACCGTTCAGTAATCAGATCATGATGACCTTCTAGGCTAAGGGACGCGTTATACGACGTTGCACACCGACGTGGTGCAACCTGAACGAACTGCGAATGAGATGGACGTATTGAAGACTGTCAATGAACCCGTTTTGAGACGTTTTCGTAGGACTGGCAAGAACGGGTAAGAACTAGTTTGTGTGATAGGGGGTTAGTGTCAAACATCGTAATAGAATATAGGTCAGTATTTAATACATAAAATAAATAAAAAATAATACTTGTATGATTGTGTTTTTCAGTTATTCGAAATGTCAGACACATGAGAATTGTTTTTAATTTTGATTTTTTGTGGTGTTATGAGTAATAAACATATTTTTTAATATACACACAACTGCCGACAATGAGGATATACAGTCGGAAATTGGTCTGCCTGGGTCACATGTTACAAAGTCACGTATCTTAATTTATTGTTCGATAAATATAACATTTTTAATCTTAATCATAAAAATCTCAGCGTGACTCCAAACTTTTCTGAGTATACGGTTAACCTTATATATTTAAACAAGTAATACCAAATCTCTGGAAAATGTCAAATGTATCTCTAAGGTAGAAAGCAACCTACTTTTCACCCATTGGAATACATGTAAAATTGACAAAGTTCAAATCATAATTTCTCGAATCCCAGCCCATCGAATCCTCGCATCCATCCAGATCATGTAGTGCTATTCAAAAACTTCCCGTTCGGTTATATGATGAGAAAAATATACCACGAACGAAAAATGATTTTGCTACATTTATAAGCGTGCATTGATTTTTGGGTCTGTAAAAAGCACTTAGGACCTAATTAGACGGTCAAAAATATTATTCAATTTTTTGGTTCAAAATTATAAACTGTCAGTGGTCCCTAACACTCCTACTAGCTATTACCAAACATTAATTGTCAATACATGTACACATATACGTGCCATACATCTACAAAGTAGCAAACTAGTGTTTTAAGTACTACTTTTCCTATACCATGAACAAAACAAATCTCAAGTAGGTTATATTGACCCTAATTAACTGTTCTCAGCTTCTCCTAGTTCTCTAGTTGTTAACTCTCAAAACAAACCCTGTTATTCTATCTCATACGAAAAACATATTGTCGGACTTTGTACAAACGAAGGGTAATTTGTGTCAACAACTATATTACAAGTGGGTGACGTATGACAGGTATACGTCGCTGTGAAATCACAAGACGTAACAAAATGGCTGAAGTCCCTTCAACTCCTTTGCATAACATAAAAACTAAAGATTTTGGTAGTGTGTCTATTCCATTTATTCTTACAAATCAATATAAAGTTCTAAACTCCACTGAATGAGCGCGATCCTCAATAAAATCTCAAAGAGTCCAATAATTACAAAATTACAAGTAGTCCCAAAAAGTCTCAGTGATCTCGGAGATTATGTTTCTTAAAGATCAAAGGAATGCTTAAATCCAAACTGATCACAATTGTCTCAATCTCAACTAATCTCAAGTATTGAAAATGCTGATCCCGATCCTTCTTCAGGATCTTAAATCAGGCACAAAATTCAAAAGGTCTCTATATCAAAAGTCTGATCAAATGGTCTTCTAATCTCAAATGATCTTGGGAATCAAAGACTAAATTCCATAAAAACTTATCAGTTACATCTTCAAAATATATAATCTCTACTTTATTATAATGTCGTTAGTACCTCCAAATGACCCTTCTTCAGGATCACGAGCTAACTATTTGCAACACAGTTTATTCCCTCATAATACATGCCATCTACATAAAGTTAGTCCCTCCAAATGACCTTTCTTCAGGATCACGAGCTAACAATTCACATCTACATAAAGTTAGTCCCTCCAAATGACCTTTCTTCAGGATCACGAGCTAACAATTCACATCTACATAAAGTTAGTCCCTCCAAATGACCTTTCTTCAGGATCACGAGCTAACAATTCACATCTACATAAAGTTAGTCCCTCCAAATGACCCTTCTTCAGGATCACGAGCTAACTCAACCTCATTGGTGATATTTAAATGGACAATAAACTCATGAAATATCAGTGGAACTGTTTCACTTACGTTTTCGTGTAAATACTTGAGCGCCTGTAAATCAAATTCACTCTGAAGTTTCATCAATGTAATGTCGCAATTAAATTATCATTGATGTCTCCATTATATCTCCAAAAACGGTCATAAAAGTTGAATTTCTTCCTGACAAAATTCAACACAGCCCCGCCATTGATGAATATTGAAAAACATGGCGTCTAGGGGTTTACAAATTGTAAATCACGGCAAAATTTTCCCCTAAACTCCCGCCAAAAACATGAAATTGATCACAGGTTATATTGCCCCTTTTACTTGAAATGGGATTGGAAATTCGGGCTAATACATAATAAACACACTAACTTTATATAAAAACTACTTTAATTAAAGTTTACATTAAAATATGAAAGAGTAATTAACTTGACCTAAGTTTGACTACGTTCGCAAATTTACATATGGCTGCCGTAAGCAGAAAATGTTTTCAAAAGATGCGTCAGAAATATACAAAATCTACACTCTACCTTTAAATTATAAACGCATCATGGTAATCTCTGGATTATAACAATTGATACTGTGATAAACATAACATGTAATTTACCTTTACAGTGGTAGCAAATCCTGTCCGAAATTGAGAAAAATTATGTGGTCAATCACTTCCAGACGACACAAGTATAACGCGCATCTATTTTGCGCATGACGGGTTGCTATGCAACTCAGCGCCCTTACATAAAATTACAAAGTTGACATGCACTACTCGACCAGTGAAAACTATGACATGGCATATATTTAATTTTCCCACATACCCCCCTACTAAGACAAGGCGCCCTCGCCGTAAAAACTTATACTACTGTACAAAAATATAATTACCTATTTAACATAATCTCTCTTATAAAAATATATTACCTCTTTAAAACAAAATTGCACAAGTGACATTTTGTAACACAATTATATACAACTATCACAATTATATACAATATAACAATATGTACAAAAACATGATCCGATGGACTACCAGTCCACCCCTGGAAGCACCGCCTCGCTTCAAGGTATGCCGGACTCCTTTAAGCTCCTAAGCTTAAGTCCACTGACTCTGGGATCAACACTATCAAAGACTATGATTACAAAAACATAATAATCTTTCCTACTGTACCACTTATGATCACTACATAATCTTTATACGGTCAACTCCTCATCACTGTATCTATGACTTATACAAACTTCCAAAGTAGAAGTTTTGTAGATTATGTTGAATTACACAAAGAACTTTTACATAAAATGTACAACTATCTAAATTTACATATAAAAAAAAATACAACTACTAAAGAAAATGATCCGATGGATTATTATCTTGATAATCCACCCCCAGAAGCACCACCCCGCTTCTAGGCATGCTGGACTCCACTAAGTCCTCCAGCTCTGGGACCCCTAACCAAAAGTAACATGAACACTATAATAAACACTCTGGAACTGCTGGTAGATCACTAAGATCTAGAATAGTTAATGGTTTGCTGAACCAACATACAAATTCTCCACATGTTGAATGTTAATGTTCCGCCCAAAACTCGTGCCCAGTGTCTGAGTCCCTTGATCCCGCATGGTAATCACCCTTCTCCTGGGTGTGATCCTTGGAGATAGACTTAGAATAGGTGGTGCAGGATGATCCAACTCCTGACCTTCCAGAGGATTAATCCCTGGAATGTTGCTCCTTCTAGGACTGTTCTTGCTAGAGGCAGGAGAGTCACGAAGAACAGGCTGATCCGACGCACTGATGGTAGCACTAGAGCGTCCACTTTTAGGGGTCTTAGTGACTACCTGGGATCTAGGCATGGTAACATCACAAGAAACGGGTTGATCCCTAATGTCACATACACTTACTGACAAACGAGGAGTCCCACTGGTGTTAGAGGTAGTAACCACCTGTGTGTTTGGCATCGGTGAAGCACGAGTGACTGGTTCTTTGCTAGTCTTGGTCACGGTGGAAACCCTGCTAGGAGTCCCACTCTTATTCGATGCAGTAATCACCTTTGAACTGGGCGTAGGTGAAGCACGAGGGACTGGATCTTCACTAGTCTTCAGAACATTGGAAGACGTGCTGAGAGTCCCTCCCTTAGGAGTCTTACTGATCTTCTGGGATTGTGGTAAAAAGGAGCGATCTTTCTGGGCATAGGTCGAAGATTGGGACTTATGGTGATGTCGATCTTTCTTAGACTTTTTTCCTTGATTGTCCTTGGATGATCCTTTGTGATCCCACATACTCACTGTGCTCACGGTGTCATGAAGGGGGATACGCTCCCCAAAAGGAATCTCATCCCAACTCTCCTTTGATGGGCTGCGTCTTTTCGGGTCCACCCCGTGTTGGCGTCTTAAGTGTCTACGGCAATTACTGCGATTCACAAATGACATCCGGCATATTGGACATCGCTCCTTGGATGGAGATCGAGGACTCCTACTCCTGCTTCTGGGCCTAGGACGCCTATTCCTAGGTGATTCTGAGTAGGACCTCTTACTGGGTCTGCCTCGCTCCATCACTGAAAGTACAAAGTTATCGAATTTAGCGGGTTTCCTAGATCCCCGTTTTGGCCTGGTTCTTTCCCTTTTAAGACTTTCCCCATTATCATCAAAATTCTCCCCAAAATTCATAGGTTGAGCAATGGTATCAGAGGACTTTATCTCAGTCTTAGGAGTGGAGGATTCCGATCGGATCAACTGCGGCTGTACTTTTGATTCATCGGCTCGGAGCCCAGAAAAATCTTTCGGACTCGGATTTTCCCGTGGGAGAAACATCCTGATCCAGTCAAATCCGACCGCTCTTTTGACTCACTCTTGCTAATATCAGGAAAATCGTTCAGAACCGGACTTTCGCTCGGACTCACGCAATTTTCAGCCGGACTTACAGGTGCCGATCCGGAAGAATTTGCCCGCACTTTTGAATTACGCTTACGCAGACCGGAAAAATCTTTCACTGTTGGACTGGTATGCAGAGTCCCATTCCCGTCCTTTGAAACCAGATCAATGACAGGCGGAATCAACACCTTTCGTCCGGATCCCTCTCTGTTCTTAGGGCAGTCCATCTCTGCTAACGGATCCTTTTCTAGTTCAACAGTCTCAACTGGTTCATCAGGATTGGTCAATGTTGGCCAGGTTTCGGGCAAAGGACTCTCAAATCTCTTCAACTGATTGTAGTGAAGGACTTTCGGTTTTCCTGTACCATTTTCTCGAACACGGTATACAACAGGTGACAACATCTTGATTACTTGGAAGGGTCCTACCCATCTGGGTTGTAATTTCGGTGATCTACCCTTCTTCCGGTTTTTGTTGCGTACCCACACTGCATCTCCCCTCTGATACGCTTTGTAATTCATCTTTCTATCATAAGAACTCTTTTGACGATCTGCAGCCAGATGGATCACGTCCCTAGCTTTCTCATGAACTTGTTCCATCCTCTGCCTCAGCTGCTTTGCATGATCCGTGACCAGCTCCTCCTCAAAAGGTACAGCAACCATACGTTCCAGTGGAGCCTCTAACTCCCGTCCCATCATTAGCATTGCAGGCGTCTCTCCAGTGATCCTATGAACAGAAGTCCTATAGACCATTAGAGCCAGGGGAATATTCAGATCCCAATCCTCTAGATTGTAAGCAGGGGCAGCCAACTTCACGATATTGTCGATGAGGGTATGGTTAAACCTTTCCACCATCCCATTGGAGGCCGGATGGAAAGGAGTAGTGTGTGTCTTCTCTATACCCATAAGAGAGCATACTTCCTGGAAGACCTCTGCTTCAAAATTCCGACCTTGATCCGAATGTAATTGTTTGGGGATTCCCCATCGGCAGCAGACTTCATCGACCAGTTTGGATGCCACTGTAATAGCCTCCTGATTTGGTAAGGCAAACACTTCAGGCCATTTCGTAAAGTAATCTGAACAAACAAGGATCACTTTATTCCCTCTCTTAGTTGTAGGGAAAGGACCAAGCACATCTATTCCTCATTGTTCCATAGGGGCTCCAACTCTCACTACTTGTAAGGGACCAATCTTCTGTCGAGCAGGATTTTTTCTCGATCCGCAAGCATAGCAGGATCTACAGTAAGATCTAACATTATTTGATAAGGATGTCCAATAAAATCTTCTCCTGCAGCGTTCAATAGTCCTCTTCAGCCCATAATGACCAGCTACTTTGTTGGAATGGCTCAACTCCAGCACTCTTCCCTGTAACTGTTTGGGAGCAACAATCTGGAAGGAAACACCTCTTCCATCGTGGTCTTCCCAACTCCTGCAGAGTACACCTTGTTGAACATGGAGTCTGCCCCACTGGATCCATAGTTTCTTCACTTCAGGGGACTTCCAGCTTATATCATCCCATTTTGGTTGGGAAGCACCAGACTCAATCCCCTCTAAGATCAATCTCAATCCTGGATCTTTCATCTGAGCATCCCGGATCTCTTCCAGGGACCATTCTGGTTTCATCTCAACAGTAAGAACTACTTCATCTTCATCATCATAATTGGGTTCCGGCACACATCGTCCCCCACAATGTGTACTCTGTTTACATGGGATTCTCGACATGAGATCCGCATTTTGATGTTTTACTCCTGGTCTATACTGGACATCATAGTCAAACTCTTGCAAGATTTGTATCCACCTCGCTAGCTGGCCTTCTGGCTCTCGGAAGTTGACAAGCCAGCGTAAGGAACTGTGATCTGTCCGAAGCAGAAAATGGACACCATACAAGAACTGTTTGAAGTATTTCACATAATTCCCTTTCTTCGCCATCCTGCTCCTAAGATAGCACAGCACCGATGGCCTCCAGACTTGCGTCTGTGTCCACAATATATGGGCAGCCACTTCGATGATACCCTAGGATGGGAGCACTGGCTAATTTCTCTTTGAGCAGGTCCATAGCAATCTGGCAGTCTTGAGTCCATTTAAACTCCACATTCTTCCTGGTTAAGTCATGTAGGGGTCCAGCAATTTGTGCAAAATCCTTAATGTGCCGCCGGTAGTACGAGGTTCCTCCAAGGAATTGTCTAACATGTTTGACACATCTGGGATTGGGGTAATCCAGGATCTGCTTCACTTTATCGGGATTCGGACTTAATCCGGACTTGGATACAATATGTCCCAAGAATTCGACCTCTTTCCGAAATAATACACACTTCGAAGGCTTCAACTTCAGTCCTGCAGCACGGAATCTGTCAAAAATATCTTCCAAACGTCCTACAGATGTCGCGAAATCATCCCCGAAGGTTATCACATCGTCGAGATAAATTAAGGAAGTTTTGAAAGACATCCCTCGGAAGACTCGCTCCATCAATCTGCAAAAAGTGGCAGGAGCTCCTGTTAATCCGAAAGGCATAACTACCCACTGATATTGCCCACCACGAACAGAAAATGCTGTTTTCTCCCTGTCCTTGGGATCAACTTGTATTTGCCAATATCCACTACAGCAATCAAGAGTAGAATAGTATTCACACTCTCCCATGATGTCTAGAGTCTCTCCAATGTTACTAATTGGAAAACCATCCTTGTGTGTAGCAGAGTTTAGTTTCCTGTAGTCCACACAGAACCTCCATTTGCCATCTTTTTTCTTCACCAGTACAATAGGGGACGACCAAGGACTACAACTAGGCTCAATGATTCCACGATCCAACAGATCCTTGACTTGAGAATCGACCTCTTCCTGACGTCCAGGAGGCAATCTCCTATATGCTTGCTTAATGGGTGGAGTATCCCCAGTTGGAATAGTGTGTTGGACCCAAGATGTGTGACCAATATCCCGTTCTGTTGTAACAAATACATCAGCATTCTTACATAAGAGGCGAGTCTGTTTTATCTGATCCTCATCCAATCCTTCTATGCTTCTCTCGTATAGATCTTCCAAATAGGGAGGAAGGCAATCTGGGATCATCTCTAAATGTGGTCTGGTCTGATCTTGATCCTCTGATGTTTTTTCTTTCTGGGTGTCAAGTGGACCTTTTTCCTCCAAGATTGATGAGGCTATATGGTTGATCTCCTCCGGGGTCTCACCAACTCTGTATACAGATTCTATTAGACTACAAGTCCCTATAGACTGACCCTTGTCTAAGCTGATTGGTAAGGCTGAGTTATTCCATAATTCAGTCACCCCGGACTGTTCTTTACTCTCAACTAAGACATCTACCATGACAAGATTTGGGTCCATCGATTCATCATCAATTTCGATTATCACTTGTTCTCCATCTTGGACCCCATCAATCTGTAAGTCCACCTTGCAGCAAGAAAATGGAGGAATCTCAAGATCTTTCTTTAAAACACAAACAGTATCAGTCAATCTGTAGTTTGACGTTTTCTCTTCATGGTCTTCATAATCTGGGCTTGGATCCATCACCTCAGCCTCACACTCTACAGGGGCATCTAAAATCCAGCCATCCTGCCTAAGATCATCTGTGATCTCGCATGCATTAATCATCGTACATCCGGGAGTATCCTCTTCACTTTGAGACACTGGCGGAATTCTAGGATCTTCAAATGGATCTTGGCCATCTTCTTGTTCACTTTCGCTGGACTCCAATTCAGTTGAATCCGAGTCCTCCACATCATCTAAGTCGATATTCCCATCCCATGAAGTGACTGCTGGCCTCTCCTCTTTCTTATCTATGATTGTTACCTGACGCATGTCCCTTCTCTCTTCAAGAAGCTCCCTATTCCCCTGGTTCCATTTGGGACTGTTAGGAGGTGCTTCAATCTCATCTTGAAGGGAACAATAGCTCTCACCACCAATACTCCCGAAGCTTAGTGTCAACTGATTGAAATCAATCACAACACCACTAGCTGACAGATATTCCGATCCCAAGATCCCTTCTTGTGCGATGTCTGCGACTACAACATCCATGGCAGTTGAATGACCCTCAAGCTTGATCTCACTGGTGAACATTCCATACACTGCTAATGGGGATCCATCAGCTTGCAGAAAAATACGTCCAGCTGGCTTTAGGATTGGACGTTTGTACTCTGGAATTCTCTGGTAACTCCTCAGCTCGACCATTGTCCGTACTGCACCTGAATCCACCAAGAACTCTATGGGTGTTCCACATATTCGTCCCTCTGCTACAATTTTCCTCACAACACTACCTCTATGTGACCCATCCATCTCTACATTACCTTCTGTAAGGAACCGTATCGGTGTCACATTACTTGATGATCCACTCCCTTGATGTTGCTTTTGGGACTTCTGCTTTGGAGGCTTTTGGCACTCATATGAAAGGTGTCCACCTTCTCCACAGTTGTAACAGGTGATTGTCGGGCACCGCTTGGCTATATGACTATCCTCCCCACATCTCCTACAAGTTTGCTTCTGTGGTGGGTATTCTCTTGACTTCCCTAAGTTACATCTGTCCAGTTTTTCATTTAAGTCCATTATCATCTTCATTATTTTGTCTTCATGTTTATTCTCATCAGTCACAGCTGAAATCTTATGATCTTTAATCCTTGGTTTCAATCCCCGTCTGATCCTTTCAGATTCCTGATAACTTTCTTCTTTGAGTGCAATCTCAATAGCTTTATCCAAGGTTGCGGGATCTTTTTGGTGGATTGCTCTTCTCAAGTCTTCATCGGTAAGTGATTGCTCAAAGCTTCTCCTTGCTAGTCGATCCTGAGCCGCCCTGCTCATCTCTGGGTAGGCTAAAGAAGCAAGTCTTCTAATGCTTTGACCAAGGCTCTGCAAAGATTCTTTCGGCTTACGTACTCGACTGCTCAGCTCGGCTTCAAAAACATCAGCCTTTCCTCCTGGCCCGAAACGTTTGTCCAGGGCCTCAAGCAAGTCTTCATATGTGTAGCCTTTATCCAATTCAAGAACCATTTGCTGTGCATCATCGCGTAGATTTGTAACTAGGTACTGACGTTTCTCTACATTACTCCAATCATTATTTTCAACACATGTTTCGAAATAAGCTTTGTATACTGGCCATGAAGAAGTCCCAGCAAAAGTCTGTGTTGGCTTTATCCGAGCCCGCTTACTACTCGACTGGGATTTCATTACATGTCCTGCCATGGTTAGGGTTTGTTTTACAAGATCAAACAAATGATCTGTCTTCTCGGACTCGGGTGGATCACTATCTCTGCCACTCCCTTTGTCAATCAATTTCTCCTCTATCTTCTTGGACTCATTGCTTGAAATTCCATCTCTAGTCTCCGTGTCTCTAACTGGTATTTCATTGTGTACATCTTGGTTTACGAACTCAGGGAGTTTGTCGGAAAAAGTCTCCTTCCTGATCCCAGCCATACCATGAAGATCTGCTCCCAGTTGATCAATTGATCTTATCGGTGCACCTTGATTTACATTGGGCATCTCCTGCTCTGGTAGTTCAGTGTCATCATTGGGATAGTAGAATCGCTTCTGCCTCCTCAATGGCCATGGCGGAATAAAGCTAGGATCCCCCTCTCTTCGAAGGGAGGGTCCCTCTTCATCATTAAAGCTGACACTACGTAAATGACCACAGCCCATCTTCGGCAAAGTCCCTCTATATTCATCTTTCCTTAGTCTCCTCGGTTCACTCTGCCGATTTCCGGCTACATCTCCAACACCTCTCTGTTTCGGTTTGTTATCCCGTCCATTTCTTAATACTGACATAGGCTCTACTCCACCCATCTTGGGCATTTGTTTCATTCTCATGAACGGGATCTGATCCTTGATCTCAGGAATCTTTGCAGATTCCGCTCCCATGGATCGTCCAGGGCCATCCTCCCCTATAGAAAACTTCGGATATTTAACTTGGTCATCTTCGCGTCTCATTCGGGCATTTGGAGCAGAATTTTTATCTTCCAATTGGTATCGCCACCTTTCCCACTTTCTTCTTGCTGACTCTTCTGATCCAGCTTCTTCTGGCTTCTCAAAGGGATTAATATTCCTCTTTGGATCACCCATCTCTGGATGATCAGCTGGCATCTTCTTCTTGTGGCTATCATCACTTACTCCTAAAACAGTCTTTAAATCCTGGGGAGTCTGCTCCCTCTTCCCAGGAAGAAAGTTCATTTCGGCTGGATCTACAGTAGATGTCAATGGAAATCCCAGGGGTCGGATTCCTCGTGTAGGAGTCTCATACCCAGAGATCATTTGGGATTTGGGCCCTTCCGACCAATACCCAGTACTGTAGGATGCAGGATATCCACTCTGCATTGTCAACCCAGCCTTCCTCCGAACTGTAGGCTGAAGGGGCGTTCCGGGTACATCATGGCTCTCCTGGTCCCGCTGCAGCTCAGCCTCTACCCCTAACCTACTACGCTGATGTTCATCTTCCAAAGGTAGAGTATCATCTAAATCCATATGATCACTGCTTCCCTCACCTTTGAAGAATACTGTTAGATCCCTAGGATCCCCTCCCTCTGCCATTCTGCTAATTGTAGTCTTGCGTCAAACACAGAAATCCCACCGCTGACACCAATGTCGGACTTTGTACAAACGAAGGGTAATTTGTGTCAACAACTATATTACAAGTGGGTGACGTATGACAGGTATACGTCGCTGTGAAATCACAAGACGTAACAAAATGGCTGAAGTCCCTTCAACTCCTTTGCATAACATAAAAACTAAAGATTTTGGTAGTGTGTCTATTCCATTTATTCTTACAAATCAATATAAAGTTCTAAACTCCACTGAATGAGCGCGATCCTCAATAAAATCTCAAAGAGTCCAATAATTACAAAATTACAAGTAGTCCCAAAAAGTCTCAGTGATCTCGGAGATTATGTTTCTTAAAGATCAAAGGAATGCTTAAATCCAAACTGATCACAATTGTCTCAATCTCAACTAATCTCAAGTATTGAAAATGCTGATCCCGATCCTTCTTCAGGAATCTTAAATCAGGCACAAAATTCAAAAAGTCTCTATATCAAAAGTCTGATCAAATGGTCTTCTAATCTCAAATGATCTTGGGAATCAAAGACTAAATTCCATAAAAACTTATCAGTTACATCTTCAAAATATATAATCTCTACTTTATTATAATGTCGTTAGTACCTCCAAATGACCCTTCTTCAGGATCACGAGCTAACTATTTGCAACACAGTTTATTCCCTCATAATACATGCCATCTACATAAAGTTAGTCCCTCCAAATGACCTTTCTTCAGGATCACGAGCTAACAATTCACATCTACATAAAGTTAGTCCCTCCAAATGACCTTTCTTCAGGATCACGAGCTAACAATTCACATCTACATAAAGTTAGTCCCTCCAAATGACCTTTCTTCAGGATCACGAGCTAACAACTCACATCTACATAAAGTTAGTCCCTCCAAATGACCCTTCTTCAGGATCACGAGCTAACTCAACCTCATTGGTGATATTTAAATGGACAATAAACTCATGAAATATCAGTGGAACTGTTTCACTTACGTTTTCGTGTAAATACTTGAGCGCCTGTAAATCAAATTCACTCTGAAGTTTCTTCAATGTAATGTCGCAATTAAATTATCATTGATGTCTCCATTATATCTCCAAAAACGGTCATAAAAGTTGAATTTCTTCCGGACAAAATTCAACACAGCCCCGCCATTGATGAATATTGAAAAACATGGCGTCTAGGGGTTTACAAATTGTAAATCACGGCAAAATTTTTACCCTAAACTCCCGCCAAAATTATGAAATTGATCACAAGTTATATTGCCCCTTTTACTTGAAATGGGATTGGAAATTCGGGCTAATACATAATAAACACACTAACTTTATATAAAAACTACTTTAATTAAAGTTTACATTAAAATATGAAAGAGTAATTAACTTGACCTAAGTTTGACTACGTTCGCAAATTTACATATGGCTGCCGTAAGCAGAAAATGTTTTCAAAAGATGCGTCAGAAATATACAAAATCTACACTCTACCTTTAAATTATAAACGCATCATGGTAATCTCTGGATTATAACAATTGATACTGTTATAAACATAACATGTAATTTACCTTTACAGTGGTAGCAAATCCTGTCCGAAATTGAGAAAAATTATGTGGTCAATCACTTCCAGACGACACAAGTATAACGCGCATCTATTTTGCGCATGACGGGTTGCTATGCAACTCAGCGCCCTTACATAAAATTACAAAGTTGACATGCACTACTCGACCAGTGAAAACTATGACATGGCATATATTTAATTTTCCCACAATATGTATGTCGTTAAATACCAAAAATTATTACAGCAGTTACTCTGACCATAATTTGTGCCTTTTACTTTTTGAAAATCACGCACAATTTGTGTTAATGTATAACTTAATTTGATTTATAGTTGATTTCGAGGATACTAACTTACTTGCTGAAACAAATAACACACCAAGAATAGAGTAACACCTCATACCCGTGATGATGCAATAAGGAAATGTGTCAAGTTGATACAAAGAACATTGCCCACCCTGTATATAAAAAGGAGACTTCCGCATTGGAACATTGGGATCATTTGGAGAAACAAGCCTAGAATCATCATAATCATCAATGTTCTAGATCATCAAAAGTACTACTCGCGCGATCGAAGCTTCAATTTATCCTCAAGTGAGACACTGATCGTTGGTTTGATGAGAATATGACGTCGACTGAATTCTCGAGGTTAATCGACATGTCAGGTAAATGTTTTAGACAATAATAATGTTTCAAAAATGTTCCCAAAATTGTGGTCATGCATTGTTCCAACCATTCTTGTTTCTGAAAGTGAAAGCTAAGAGTACATAAAATAAAAATTACATAACCAAAATTGTAAATGGTATTGTTTAAAGAGAGAATCAGATATAGCGAGCAAAACAAAGAATTGTTTCAATTTTAGAATATTTCTGGCTTATGTCATTCCTTTTCATGTCTATTTTAAAAAATCTCTTAAGTGCACACTTTATTTCAGGAAAACTAAAGATTTTTACAATAATGTTATTTTTCCATATGAATGATAACCATTATTATCATTTGGGAGAATTTTTACATTTTCACTTATTTTTGCACTTTGAATCCATTATAACTTCACCAATTTATAACTGTATACTAGTATCATGAATATTTTGGGAGATATTGTATTTGAGATTGTAAGGTATAAATTGATAGGTCAATTGTACATGTCTAATTTTGTCACCCCATAGATCTGATTCTGCCTTTAATATAATTAATGTAATTGCAATGTATTGTAAATGTTACGTAATGTAACACTTGTCTATTAATGGTGTAAGTGTTTTATTTAATGGCATTAAAATGTATTTGATCGAGTAGTGAAGCTTGTCTTAATTTCCGTGTTTGTGAAATGGTGATGACTGGCTTGGCGTCATCGGTGATGCTAACCGTCTTTGTCGAATATGCCGCTTATATTGTAGGCAAGATGTTTTCAAGATTTAGTTTGAACAAGATTTAAGAAAGATTTAACGAAAAAGGGAAGCGCATATCAAGGTCTAGTGATTTTGTCAATTACAAGTTAGCTCTTTTCAGCCCGTTATGATTATTTTAATTTTAGGTATATGGGTTAAAGGTAAATACAATTTGAACAGTTCAATGTACATTCTTCTTCGCGCGGGTGTAGCTTTACTTTTTAACAGTGTAAACATAAATGGTTTAGTATTCCATTTGCAGCTACGCTTGGGTCGAGTGAACAAAATAGGTGTTTACAATGATGAACAATGTGATTCCTGGTGCAGAGAAATACCTAAACCGTATTGCATATGGGTAAACGGAATATAAGAACTATCTTTCGATGAACCCGAGCAGAATATATTGGTCTCTTGTTTTGAACCTGATTGCGTGTACCGTACAATTTATCTCTTTTCATCATAGACAAATGCATCTCCATCATACATATCAGACAAATTGCATTTTGTTACTTCGCATTAAGTTCAGAAAACACCTTTACTACTACATGATACTTTTAAACTAGGTTACGATTAGAAAATGTTTTAAATACATTGCAAATTATTAAGTCTGTTTCTAACATCATACAATTGAAGTAGAAGTGCATAATATATGTTGATATGAAGTTGGCATACACTGTTCAAATAAAATTCAAATTTATGACATGTACGAGTATCGAGACATTGATAGTTTTGAGTTTTCCCCATATTAGTTAATTAATATTATTAATTATTAATAAAATATTATTATTATTATTTTTAGCCATATTTATTATTATCGTATGATCTGTAAAATGAAGCCCTCTGATTGGTCAGTTCTTGTGCTGTACCAATCTGTATTGCTACTGAGATTGTCCCCATTGATCATCTCCGTCGCAATACAGAAAATATTGGTACGGAGGGGACAAACTCCGTAGCAATACAGAGGATCACACGATAAAAACGTTATTGGATGATTTGAAGTGCAATACAGGATATATTCTGTCTCGATATTCTGTATTGGCACTCGACTTCGTTTCGGCGTTCCAATACAAAATTTCTCGAGCAGAATATATCTTGTATTGCACTTCAAACCATTCAATTTCGAAACATAACCCTCGTAAGGGAACATGGGGCAAAGCGGCCCAAAAAATTTAATTTTAAGTTGTTCTGTACGGGGTATTTTCGTATCTGTCAATCATCGCGCACTTTGATGTTCCACTTTATTAATGGTTTGTGGTTTACATTTTTCGAGTGTTTTATACTTTCCTAGGACTGTCTTCTGTGATTTTTCAATGGTCAAAAATATTGTCGAGAGTGGGGCAAAACGGCCCATGGGTGGGGCAAAACGGCCCACCCTCTGTTACATGGGTTTTGAAACCAAAATTAATCAATTACAAGACTCGTCCACAAACATCTTATCTCAGACGTTCAAACCTTTGACAGATAAAGTATTCTTAACCCCTACCATAATTCTAGTCACTCGATATGTGTCGGAAGGAAATTAGACACAAGCCAGATGTTAAAATTGTTACATTTGAAAACCAATTGTTCTTGCACAATAAGATTTTTGTATGTTATAACATGTGTGGGCCGTTTTGCCCCAAAGACATGTGAATTTTCAAATAGACGTCATTTTAATTTGCCTAATATTTGAAGCTCGAAATTTTTACAAATAAAGAATAAATGTGCACACTCTATGTAAAATGTTAAATCAAAACGATATTCTATTGTTGCCGGATTTTTTAGAGATTCTCGTGAGAGGGGTAATTTCCAAAAAAGAGGGTAAAAAGTAGAATTACCTCTTACGTAAAGCGAGACGCTGCTTGGTTAAAAATGGACGCTCGAGAAGGTGGCAGATATTTCAAAATTCGATTTTGTGACTTTTGAAGAACCATCTTTTTATAGTTCAAAAGATATTTCGATGGGCCACTTTGCCCCAGAGGGCCGTTTTGCCCCATGTTCCCCTATTGGTATTGTGAACTAATTAATATAACCAACCTTATTAGTATTGTACTAAGTTTTTTTCTAAACATAACTACTACTTACACGAAACGCTGTGCCGTTTACAATATAGAATATTATTCTTATATTATTCTTATGACAAAACAATGAGTGTTAAATGTGTTGGTAATTATTTGATGTACGCTCTTGGTAATTCACTCTTTAAACTGATCGCGTAACTTAGACGCAAAAGAGGGAATATCATATAACAAAAACATATAAATGGGACACTTATAAGTGTAAAAATGGGACACTTCGTATCATTCTTCAAAGTGTAACATAGGATCAAACAGATATCCCACGTGATTTACCAAAAGATGGGTAATTTAATAAGCTTTAAAAAGATATAATATATAATACTATCTTACTTATCTTCAATAATATAGAAAATGTGACAATCTTTTATTGTGCTATCACTATTCGCAAAAGCAGATGTTACAATTTAAGAACGAAGCAATTCGTGAAAATGGATGTCCGATATGTATGTCTCTATCTGTAATAATAGCTCTAATCTCATAAAACCCATTATTTGAATTAACCTCGCCATAATACCCAAGTAATTATCGCAAATGTACTGACGATCAAACTTCCGCAAGGTTTTTTGCAAGTTTCGTCTCATGGTTTACTAATTGGGCGTTTAATAATAAGATTTTCTGTGACATTATATGTGCATTGTAGGAGTGAATCCCAAAGGGGGTGCAGCTACCATCCAAAACGTTTCTAAAGAGATGGCGGAGGTCCTGAGCTTCGTTGATTATGACACCATGCATAGACTGTGTATGCTTCTTAACCCACCTGATGTATTCGGCAATGACTGGCGAATGCTTGGCGATAAAATGGGATTTACATTTCTCGAGATACGTAATATTCAACAGCGCGAGAAAAATCCGACACAGGCACTACTGTTGGTGTATAAAACACGCACGGGTAAAGGTAACAAAGAACTACTTACTGACCTACATGACTACACTTTATCAATGGGTCGAGAGGACTGCGTTACACTTCTAAAGCATGCCTTGGAGGGTGAAGATGGAGATGATTTGAAGATCGATATGTCTGTGCTTACGTGTGGACAGGATAGCATTCTTACTGAACAAATAATAGGTTCGTTCGGTTTTAAAGGAAATATATCATCTAAAGATACAATAGAAAATCACCATTTTATACCAACGTTTTGTTCCTTTCCTATTTGAATCAATACATTATTATTCTAAACACAGATCACAACACTATATTATATGTTTAAAAGGCATTAGGTCATAAATGTGTTTCCAAAACAAACACTATTATTAGGCATGTATTTTCTAAAACTGGCTCAATTCGTATTTTCAGCATTCTTTCGCAAATAAAGACTTAGTTTTGATCTTCATTTCCAATGGATTGATTAGAATTTGATCTTTCATTGGACATCAAGAAACAGTTCACTCAGACCACAGGAGTTTAAAATAGATTATCAAAAAGTATTTTCAATCAGTCACTTTACATATGTCAAGTTTTAGCAATGCCATTGAAAGATGGCAAAGTTGTTTGCATCACATATTCATTCATTTTTTGATAGATCTTTTAAATCAAGAGATATTCAAAATCACACTTTGTGAAAAGAGAGCGTTCACTTTTTTGGATCTGTGAACTTCAAATGCTGTTTTCTATGCGAGTTCTCACTTCAGTTTTAACCAAAATAATTTTATTTTATCATATTTGATTGTAAGTGTGAGTAACATGTCTCAAAGATTATTTCACCCCTTCCTCTTCAAAAATATGCACACTGTCTGTTGAAGTAGTCACCTGTTTCTATAGCAACGGCATATTTGAAAAGATGAGAAAGATCGGATACTGTAAATACAGGTAATGCAAAATTTTTAATATGATGATACCATGTACAGTATGTAAAGAGTGTGTATTCTTTCTTTTGCAGATGCTTCCGAGTTTTATTACGGTCGGCTGTGCTGTTTATTGTTGAAAGAAGGCACCGAGCAGATCCGAAACTATTTACTGAATAACTTACCCTCTGGATTTGACAACATTTTCGATGTGTTGCACAGCAAACGTTACAAAATGCAGTTTCGCCTGCTACGGGAGAAAGAGATACTGACACAAAATCAGTTTAACACGCTATACCCTCCATCGTGTACGGCGGATCCCTTCGTCTTTGACCAGGAATTACTGTTCATCTTGATCAAACATCTCATCCCACAGGTCGACTTGGACTGGCGCAAGTATCCACAAGAGGACAAGCTTAAACCAGAGCATGACGTCATCAGATTGAGACATCTACGTCATCGGCTTATACACAAATCGAAAAGAGATCTAAGCCAAAATGAATTCGACCAACTTTTCAGTGAACTATCTCAGATTTTATTGAGAATGGGACAAAGTCCGGAATCCATCAGCAAATACAGTGATCGCATATCAATATCTGATATACCAGACCTGAAGCAAGAGTATTCCAAAGCGGTGGCACAGTTGAAGGAAGAATTCATCAGAACCACGATGGCGGCAGACTTCACTCCAAACCGAAAGTTTAATAGATTTATGATTATTATCATCCTCTGTTTCGTTACGATGCTAGTAGGAGCATCGTTGTTTGTAGGAATATATCTGTCCACATCAAAATGTGCTGAGAGTCCGGAGCTTGTAATCAACGGTAAGCCGAATATTCTCACGTCGTTTATGTAATGTCCTTTGTATTCGAGAATCTAACGTAGTTCAATATTGAACAAATATTTCACTCTTTTGAGGTGAATACCTGTACATCTTTCACAAGTGATATTCCACGAAGTCGGAAGGGCAAGTGGAATATCACCTTGTGAAAGTGCTACAGGTATTCACCGAAAATCGAGTGAAATATTTGTTTTATTATATCACTGTTTAGCTAAACATCCCTAATATTATTAAGTCATTAAGTCTTCAGATATTTTTACGTTCCATTTTGACTTACACTGAACTAAATTATTTACACTGAACGAAAACAAATTCTTTGAAAATTCCCGGGAGCGTGGGATATCGCTAGATATCTCACGGTTGTCTTATCTGATTAGCATTGCCATTGAATATCGCCAGATATCTCACGACATGTGACCCGGTTTTGACCAATCATACTGTCGCTAGCTAGATAGTGATATAATAATATAAGTTATTGAATGATTTGAAATGCGATACAGGATATATTCTGCTCGAGAAATTCTGTATTGGAACGAGACGAAGTCGAGTGCCGAAACAGAATATCGAGACACAATATATCCTGTATTGCACTTCAAATCATTCAATAACGTTTTTATCTTGAATGTGATCCTCTGTATTGCTACTGAGATTGTCCCCTCCGTACCGATATTTTCTGTATTGCGACGGAGATGATGAACGGGGATAACCTCAGTAGCAATACAGATTGGTACAGCACAAGAACCGACCAATCAGAGGGCTTCATTTTACAGATCATACGATAAGAATGTATATCATAGTTTGAATGAATATGAAAACTAATAATAACCCCACGTACATTTTAAATGTTTGGAACTACTTTGAATTTAAAAAATAAGCAATCAAATGACTATATTGCAACAGTATATAAAAAATACAAACATATGTACTTGTCCTAACTTTTGTATATTTCAGATAGTTATGTATAATGTGCAGCAAAGCTGTGGCCTTTTGTAATTTAGGGGGTTTCAGCCATGTTAATTTTTCCGAAAATAACATGGCAGAGAAGCATCAAAATATAAGAAGCCACAGATATGATAGCTAAACTACAAAACAAACTAAAATATACAAAAGTTAGGACATGTATAAATGTTTTTATTTTCACATATACTGTTTCAATATGGTCATTTGATTGCTTAATTTTTAAATTCAAAGTAGTTCTAAACATTAAAAATTTTGCTGTTTATTTATTTCAGAGAGATCTGGTATGTTTCGATACAAGAGTAGAGCGGCATGGGGTGCGAGACCTCGGACTGAACCGAAAACATTTTTTAGCGCACCAGCTAAATACGTCATCATTATTCACACAGCTGGTTTGGACTGTGTCGATATGGTCGACTGCTGTCGGAGCGTCGTTGAAACACAAAACATACACATGGATAAGAATGGTAGGTTTATACATATAAAATGAAAATTATAAGTTTCACCAGAACCATTTAATAATAAACAGAGTTTCTTGTCTGAATCAATCCGACCATCAATAATATTTCGTTAATTTTAGGATGGCCCGACATTGGCTACAATTTCATGATCGGCAGTTATGGTGTTGTCTACGAAGGAGTGGGATGGGGCGTTATGGGAATACATTCTCGTGGGTAAGATAAATTGCGTTTTATAGGATATCGACACTGATACATAAAAGCAATTTTTGTATTTTTTTGTTCGAAAAGATCAGTGGTGGAAACGTAAGGCGTTTTTATCATGGTCTTTTAATGACCTACATGTAGCTGGAACAACAACACTATTGGAATTGCACTTATTGGTGATTTCCGCATGAGACTTCCGGACTGGAAAGCCCTACAAGCCCTTCAAGAAATTCTCTATTATGGAGTCAACAATGGATATCTCATGCAAAATTACACAATGTACGGCCATTGCCAGGTGGTACCTTTCTTAAGTCCGGGACGAACCCTGTAGGCCAAGCAAATGGGCTCATAAAAGGCCCAAACATCCCAAAAATTGCAACAGTTTTTAAATTAGTCTTATATTATGTATTAATATCAGCTGAAAAACATATCAAAAATATAGAAAAATGTATACAGTGGACAAATATGAAATTTCACTTCCTAGGTACCCCCTACAACCCTACCCCAAAATTGAGTATTGGTAGGAAACAATTTTTTCTTCCCAAATGTAATACTTTAGTCAAGTATTCAAGCTTTATTATGATAGATCACATATTCACAAATAATTAAAATATTATCTTAATCAATTTTGAGACCAGTAATTGGTCATTTGACCCCAAAGTATAACAAAATAGGCCACAAAACAGGCATGTTATCACATATCTATTTAGATATTTTAGGATCAGTTCGTCAGAAAAGCATGAAAAAAATCATGGTGTTACATATTCATATGAACTTTATATTTGGTGAGTGTCAGAATTCTAAGGTGTATACTTAGGAAGAAAAAAATTATTTCATTTTCATAGTTTTGCCCCGCCCACTATAGGGGAGACTATAGTTTTGATGATTAACTCCCACAATGCATCACATTTGTATTAGAGTTGACATCTAAATCATTTATATAGGCTTGTCATCATCTAAAATACAAGTTTTTGAAGGTTTATACCTTATTAGTATAGGAATTATTAGTTGCACCAGGTGAAATGTTAAGGTGACCTCACTTTTATTTGATGAATAATTACATATCACCACTCTGATATTAGGGTATTTGATAACTGCTCTATACTAGGCTTATCTAAATAATGTAAGTTGTAGTTTTTTGTGGAATTTAATATTGTTTAAATTATTAATTACAATCTGCAATTACAAAATTTGCATATATTTAAATTCATCAGATAAATAAATCATTACATAAGAGTACATTACTATGGAACTATCAATTGGATGCATAATGCTGTAGAAACGAATTTATGGTTATCAAACGGAATTTTAACTTACACAGAACATTAAAATCTCAGATATCTGGGGAGTCTTTCATTAATATAATTTCAGTGCATAGGAATGATGGTAATTCTGTCTGTCAGGTTGGAAAACATTGAGTGTACATGTGCTGCATTCAGAATCGGATGCAGATATTGTGATTGTGAAAACTGCAATCCAAAGTGTCCAAACCTCAAATACAGTACTCATACAGATCTCCTTGTGCTTCTCATTTATCATGCACAAAACACAAACTTCAACATTTTCTTCAAACCTGAACCAAAAGCAGCAACCCAAGAAACAAAATGTTGGAATATAAATGAAATAAGATTGTCTTTGGGAAAAGTGGTCTGTGACAATATGTTGTTTCTTTTCTGGGGTGTGACATCGCATTCAGGTTATATATGGCATAGACAAGAGGCTATCATTGAGGCAGATAAAAAAGAGTGAGTTCTTGAGAAAAAAATTAAGCGGTTGTTTTTAAATTACCAAAAGCACTGGTGATCCGCTCGATTACGCTTGTCGTTTCGGTAACAAAATGTCTAAACGTCGAAAAATTCAATATTTCTTTTTTCCTTTTTTCACGCATTGTAGGCAGAATCCCCACGATGTTTTTTTCTCACAGAATTGTTGATTTAATTCCTTACTTAAGTTAAATAAACGGTTTGGGTTAAAGGTGCAGATCTTAATTGTTTATCGAAATACCATTTATGTAACTTAAGTTAGGAATTAAATCGACGATTCTGTTGTCTTCTTAACTATTTCTTCGCAAATATGTACATTTTTTAAACATATAATACTGATACATGTTTGTGATAACAATGTTGTGGGAATTCTGCCTACAATGTGTGAAATAAAGAAAAAAGAAAAATCAAACCTTCGATGTTCCGACATTTTGTTACAACGTAAACAAGTAGAAAAACCAGTAAAATGCAAGCAACTCTGTCATTGCAGAGGAACATGCTATTTTGTCAATTTATGGTGGAAAAATGGTGAAACCCTAAATTATCTTAGGCTTCTAAAATTCTATTAAAAGAGAGCAGCAAGATCTGAATTATTGCAGCCCCGTGTTCTTCCTCCATTTTCTGATGCTGCGGAATACCACAGTAAACAGAGTGTACCATCAGATCCAGGAGTGGGAGGGAAATAAACTGCCTCCATTATAATTGGGCTGGGAAATAAGCAACGAAACTAGGTACCAATTGCCTAAATGCAGCTCCCCTTTCTCAGAGATCATCCATTGTGTGTGTAAGGCAGATTGTATTTCTATGAGATGTTCTTGTAGAAAAATGAAATAACTGTTCTTTGACATGTAAGGTATGCAAAGGCATTTGTGCAAATACCTCCATTACTGATCATGAGAATAATGATGACTAAATAATGAACACTGGCAGATCTGGGCCCCTCCCACCCCCTTGGGCGGGCCCAGAAAAAAAATTGGGCCCAAAAAAGGCCTTAAGTGGGCCTTTTTGGTCATAAATGGGCCTTTTTTAAGCCTTATTTTTTAATTGAAGAAAATGGGTCTCAATATTTCAAAAGTTTTTTTCTCAGACCTGACATTTGCCCCCCCCCCCTTGTTGGTTCCCATATCCGCCCCTGATGAAGGCTGGTGATAGAAAAGGTTGTAACTGATTGTTGTTACAACATAATAGTATTAAGCTTATTTAATCAGCATTCTTTTTTGCTCTCTATAAGTAAGACACATACAAAATTAAGGCAGCATTTTTGATAATGAACATAACATAATCGAACCAGGCCCTGATTTACTTTGCGTTACACTAGTTAACTAAGGAGGATTTATTAATGTAGAAACCTTTTCCTCATTTTTTATTGAATTTCATCTTGAAATCGAACATTTTTCAGTTGAACTTCTTCATTTCATTTGTCAATATCACTGTGTGGTTAAGAACACCTTAGTCAAAAGTAAAATTTTTTCCTTAATACAGGGCGAGCCAAAAAGGTAACCCAAACAAATCTTAATAATCCAGTCCAATCATCCTGCATGGATTTAGTGTCATATTTGGCAGAATTGAGTCTTGGTCAATGTATTATCAATCTACCCAGTCTCAGTGGTCTCTAGTGGTCACGATTCTATGGCCATTTTATACCATGCCATGAAATTTGGGTGTCATGCCTGGAGGCCAACTTGAACGTATCGTGCGTTGTTGTTCAAATCAGGAGCATAAAAATCATGTGTTATGACTCTCATCTTCATTCTTATCTCTTGTTTTAATGTTTCAAGTGTTGTTAGTATCGAAAAAAGGTCCACAGATAAAAAAAAATACTGGTGGTATTGATGTCCAGTCAGTTAGGCACATTTCGATATTTTGAGCATATTTTGTAAATGGCCATAAAATCGTGACTATTAAGGATAGATCAATGACACTTAGTAGAATGAAAGAACATTGAACAAGGTAATTGTGCCAAATATGATGTCAAACCCATGCTGAATGACTGGGTTATTAACAAACATTTGGTTGGGTTACCTTTTTTGGCTCATATTAATAAACTGATGTCAGGGACAGGGATATTTAACATTTTGTTGCCTTTTCAAGGACATTTTTTGACCACTGATTGTAACAAATCGTTCTCTGTTTTACCAGAAAAGGTATATTATATATCAAATGGAATTTAAAAGGAAAAAACATTTGATAATTTAACAGTTATCAACTAAAAGTAGGGCTTCCCCTTTATTTCACCTGGCATTTGTTGTTTTTCTACTTTTTTTTACATAATCCTTTCCTGAAAACCTCAAAAACTGTTTTCAGGACAAAATAAGCCTTTACAAATAATTTAGTTGTGCTATTGAGTTCAAATATGACATATCTTGGAAGTAATTAAACAAAAGTAAGGTCACCCCAAAAGTGGGTGTGGTAAAATATTCAAATTTCAAATATTATTTTCACGCTCAATATTCACTTAATGTCCCTGATACTTATCAAAGACAATGTTCAGGTGTACAATACCCTCCTTGATATTTTTCATGCAATTCTGATGAATTGATACAGAAATAAATACATTGTTATATTAAATTCGGGCTATTTGATGGCCTATTTTCAGATATTTGGCGCTAGAAATGCCAATTATTGCACTCAAATAGTTGGTTAACAATTTTTAGTTGCTCTTATGTCAGTAAACTATCATAATATTACTCGTTTAGTTGACAAGAGTATTCCATTTTGAAATAGAAAAATATTTACAATCCCATACTCATATTTGGAGGGGGGTACCTGGAATGTGACATTTCATATTTGTCCACTGCATATATTTTTCTATATTTTTGATATGTTTTTTAACTGGTATCAATATACAATATAAGCCTAATTTAAAAACTGTTGCAATTTTTGGGATGTTAAACTTCCATTTGCCTAGCCTACTGTACAATGAGCTGATGTCTGAAAATTGGCCGCACTGGGTAAGCGAACAGCAAGTACATGTGTATTTAAACCGTCTGCTCAATTCCGATGTTTCGACTTTAAATGCTATTTTTTGTTGAACGGTAAACGGTATAACGGCTAAACATCGGAATGTTCCATTTTGATGTTTCGACTTTAGATGCCAGTTTTTTGTTGAACGGAAAATCCGGCAAGATGAAAAGTAAAATGTAGCAGCCAGCCATCGATGTGTCTTTTTGTATTGTATTTTGTTTACCACCAATAAAGATGATTATATCCCGTATATATACGGTCGTATTTTACGCATGTAACGATGGAAGATAGACCCTTGAAAGAGCCCTGTGTTCTTTTATGTGAACCCATCCACATACACTTTTACATCATAGCCTTTTGTACGAGTCGAGAACCACTTGATCTAATACTCTAAAGTACGCAAACAAGCAGTTGTATGTATGTAATATTCTGTGGACCTCTCCGTATGTCAGCTGTTTTAATTATTTTTTAGAAATACCGCAACGTACCACCAGACGCAAAACTTCAAGGAAAAAGAACAGATTACTGTTTCGACAAGAAGCCTCAAATAATCAAATCTTGCATCAGTCCCGGTCGAATTTGATCTGCTCTTTGACGTGCTACAGAGGCAGCCTTAGGGCTTTATAACATGACAAATTGACAAACCAAATGGTGATTTATATAACATCTGGGCCTTGTTTTGATTATAATACAGGAAGACCGAGAAAAAGGAGAAAAAGAAGATTTTGAATAATGTCTTTGATATTGATGATTTTGTTACCGTTTTTCTGGTTGCTTGTTGCTGATTCAATGGAAATTTTGTAGGAATATCATCTTAGACTATTTGAAAGACAATGTTTACCAAAACGATCCTTAAACAATTATTGAGGCAATCACTGCCAAAATGCCATAAAAAGGGCTGAATGTGAGAGGGTGATTCTGCCAGACGAATTCAGCCCTGCCTTGGGCTCAATGCAGTCACTTGGAGCATGTGATATAAATGATAATAGCTCTTGAACCAGTTTGATGGTTGTATTGAAAGTTTCAGGAACCCATAGAATTGTACTGAGATGTGAAAAATTGCAATGTCACTTGTTTTCTTAAGAGATATTGCCTATTTCAATAGTCTCCCTTTCCGTTCACCCTGTACATCAAGGAGTGTATTTTATCTACAAAAATAATGTATATACAGGGTGGGCCAAAAAAACAATACCCAACTTTAAATCAGACTAAAAATAGCTATGTTCAATGTGATACGTTGATTTATATATCATTTTAAAGGTTATCCATTTCCGAACAATTTTGTATATAACACTATGTCATGAAATCAATATTAAAGTTTTATTATGCTTATTTGGGAGGCCGGTGTAAAAGGGTAGGAGGTCCTATCAAATTATGGTCCTACTTTCCATTGATTTATATGGTGACCTAAATACAACTCTTTCCCTTATTATCGTATCCACAGTCAGGGCCAATAAGGGCCTTTAAGAAGGGGGACCATAATCCCCAAGGGACCATAATTTATTTTACACCGGGTCAGTATTTAAGGTATCCAGATTTTAGGGAGAAAATAGTAAATCTACGGAATAATGTTAATTTTTTATTTATAGAATATCATTTTGTTAGGTGAATTAACGCTTGCATATTTGCATATTGTGTGACTAAACTTATTGTTTATGAACTTTAGTGTTGTTTATTATCAATAAGTACTCAAAGGGTGTCTGTTAAAAGACATTAAACGTATATGTGACAAGGATTTTATTTTCCAACAAGACATTGCCTCGTACCATAGATCAAAGGATACATTGGCATTTCTTTGCAAACAAGGTGTCAATTTGATTGATCTCGATGCTTGGCCACCCAACAGCCCCGATGCTACATGTAATGTGTATGATTACCATACATGGAGCCATCTCGAGGAAATGGTACAATCAAAAGCATCCAATAAACAGCTTTGATGTGCTGAAACAGAATCTTAAAGTGCTGAAATGAATTGCAACAGAAATCTCTCAATAAGGCTATTGATAGATTGCGCTTCCATTTGAAGCTTATTGTTGATGCATAGGGGAAGGGGAGGGGGTGGGGGTATATTGAGCAATTGTGAAAATTGTTTCAATAAATAAAATGTTATTAAACAACAATGAAATTCATAAACAATAAATTAAGTCACACAATGATGAAAATATAAATATCCAAGCATGTATTCACCTAACAAAAGAATGATATTCTATACATAAAAATTAACATAATTCCACAGATTTACTATTTTCTCCCTTAAATCTGGAGACCTTAAATAGCGACCCGGACTCCCAAATAAGTATAATAAAACTTTACTATTGATTTCATGGCAAAGTGTTATATACCAAATTGTTTGAAATTGTATAACCTTTAAAATGGTATGTAAGTCAATGTACCATATTGAATGTAACTATTTTTATCCTGATTTGAAGTTGGGTATTGTTTTTTTTGGCCCATCCTGTATGTCGTGTATTGGTTTAGTATCATAATAAATTATTCATATCCTCAAATTGTGTCCCAAAGAGAAGTCATTTTCCTATTGAATACATTGAACGTTCTTGCCTATATACATGAAGTGTGAGTGGCAGACAATATAAAACTGTAGAGCTCTCTTGAGGTCAACTGACAATAACTGTTTAACAATGCTGTAAACTTTGAAGTCATATTCGATGGTTTCAGAAGTGAAATTCGATGGTTTGATATATTTCAATTTTACTAATTCTGCAAAACGATTTTCAATGTTTTCTTTTTTAATTTAAAGTTTTTTAATTTTTGTCAAAATGTTGCTGCCAACAGCACATATTGTTCACTTTTAATTAACCAATCAGAATTGAATGTTTCAACGGAGCTACTAACAATATATATCAAATTTGTCACACTTGTCTTTTAACTTTCATTCCACATGATATATAACATTCCTCAAATCGCACCAGATGATTCATACTACTATGGAATCATTTGCCCATAGAGAGTATCATATACAAAAGCATATATAGGGTGTCCCAAAAAAAGAAACCAGGATTTAATTGCTTATTTCTCAAATATGAATAATAATAGGAAATTTCACAGTCACCATGTGATAGGTTATAATGTCCTTGTTCATATGATACCAGAATTGTCTATTTTCCTTTGCGGATGATTGAGTTCTAATATATATAAGTGAACATGTAAGGAAATGGTTTTTGCCACTTTTTCTTTCATGAATGACTGAACAGTAGAGGGATTGAAATGGCTATGTCAGGATGGTTATTTGGGTTATCTCAAAGATAACATCAACACAACATCACTAAGAGACGTTGATAATCTAAGGGCCAGAATTGTTGCAGCAGTGGAGGATCCAAGGGGACAGAGAGACATCACCAGGGATGAATTGCGATGAGATCTAGGGCAGACATTTGCATTGAAAGGAATATGGGTCATATTGAAGGACACTGTGGTTGAAACAACTTTGGATGGACATTGGGATTTAAAAGGGACGTTAAACATGATATGTGTAACTGAAACTGTAATAAATGAATAAAAGAGTAATATCCTGATGTTTGTCGTTACTTATCACCTACATGTATACGTTATGATCGGGAAATTGACTTGGTTGAAAGTGGCACGACCCCATTTCTGACAGGGTCATTTGAATCCCTCATTACTCAGTTATCTGGGGAGGAAAATATAACATATTGGTATCATATGAAAGAAGATATAAAGACCAGACGCAAATTATGATGGCTGACACCAAGTATTGTACTTTTAATAATATGTAATTTCATTGATTCACACGTGGCTAGGCAAGGTGTGTGAGATTCCAGGCAATCCGAACCCAGTAGTTTTACATGACAGCAGTGCATGAGATTGTGAAAAGATTTGAAACATAAGACTCAATGCATTGTAGCTGCTTCATCCCACCCAGGCGTTGTTTCCTAAACTTGCATTCCCGCTGCGTGGTCATGCAAAGATGTGGAAACAACCTTCATGATATGATTCAGCATACATTATATGCACTGGGTCCAGGACTTAAGTCCCTCAATGAACTATGACTATGATGGCTTTAATTTAAACTGCTGTGCACGATATCACGAATCACTGTATCCAAGGTCGCTTGTGAAACAGTTATCAAGGTGACAACTTGACTTGAATTGAAATTGATACTTTGCCAACTTGACCATTGCAAAATATTTAAGTGAAAAAATGTTCTTTTTGAGATTTTATATCTTTTAGGTGATTCCGTAGAAAATATTTTGCAATGTGTGAAATAATTCAAGCCCTCAATGTAAGACTCGGTGCATTGTGGCTGCTTCATTCCACAAAAGCGTTGTTTCGTGAACAAAGCGATTCATTGACACCACCATTTACATCATCATTTTCGGAGAAACAATTCAAAATGTTGATGTACTGATCGATTTTATATATATATATATTTTTTTTTTTAAGAAATATAAAGTCAAATGTATAGTTTAGAAACCTAAAACATACACTCAAATTTTATTTCATATAATTTCCTAAAGTAGTGCGTACTCAACAAACATATCAGGTGCCAAAAGTAAAAAATGTAAACATATAGTTCAATCATTCTGAAACTCTCGACCAACTAATGCGTTTACATCATTTTTCTGTTTTCCTTATTATTCCTTGTGCATTAAGTATTATCGAACTATTTTTAAATACACAAAGCGTCCAGCAAATGCTGATACAAAGGCATAATTTTTATTTCTTCTATGTCTGACTCAGCTGTGTGTATTGTTGGGTAGAATTACATTGTTATGTGAAATAAAGGTGAAATAAGTTTAGAATTTTTGGAAAGTGTCAGTGGTCTTGTTCATGAGACCTATGTCTACATGTAGTCTTGCTTAAGACCCTGGACTCCCCCCCCCTGTTCAACGTCGCTCAGTACATACTAACATAGGGGGGGGGGGTGTAGACAGTTTTGAAGCAGGACTTCTTGTGTCTTTTAGACAATGCCACATATAAATTCAGATAACAAACTTCACAGACGATACAGCTATATAATAACATTAATAATTATTCTTTAGGCTTTCTAATTGCTCTGACATTAAATACCACCAAAAATGTGTTGGTTGTAAAGGAGGGGAGTCACTCTATTTGACAACGCTGTTCTGGTGATGAGTAAGAAGGAAAAAGCTTTGTCAACGACAAGTAGCATAACATAATGATTGTGCAATGTACTTCCTGATAACGGTCTCATTTTGGGATCAAACATTCATAATAACGTGGGGTACAAATCAACGCATATCATTTGAGTACTTCAGTGATGTTTATGTTTTGAAACAGTTTATTGATGAACAGTTATTAGGGAACTATCTCAAAATATACAGAAATGATATCAACGTTGAAAACGAGGTTGATACCCAAGGCGAAGACAAGTATGACAACAGAACATCCACTTTTAACTTCAGAGTCAGGTAATGTTTCTGTATTTCAAAATCTTATTGCACACACGTATTTGTAATGGTAGCTATGACTTAATATCCAAATAGACAGATAATGAAAGGTGTGCGCATATTGTTGGCTGTTTGTTGCAACGAATGTTCCCGACTTCTTTAGAAAAAGGTTAAGGCAGATATGACAATGTATTACAAGTAAGTCGATTTACTCGTATATCCTGAAATTTCAACAAAAATGCAAAACGGTTGTTACAGCAACACTGATAGAGGTAACATTTAAGGCGGGACAAACGCCAATGGTTTAAAAATATATGTATACGGGGAATGAATGTATCCCGTAAATCCCGTCCAGTGTGAAAATTGTCGATGCGCCCTTGAAAAATCATTCCAAGTGCACATTGACTACATAGTTTTACTGCCTGACGACATAAAGTATGGTAAGAAAATCATATTTAGAAAATTTTATTATATTATAGGCACATAATAATAGTTTTGTTAAATTACACCTTTGTCACCTGACGGAAATTCCCTTTGAAGGCGGAAAGCTCAAATTGCGTTTAATTCTGACAGTTGGTTGTTCTGTTTGTTTTCTCACATGATCGGCAATACTGTACCCTTACGTTAGATATAGTCTGAAGATATATCTTAGGTATGTAAGATATTATAAAAGCAATTCTAATATGATACATGACGTCACAATAGCTAGAACAATTGATTTACTGGTCTATATTGGAGTATGTATGACCGCTAAAATTCTTATATGCAAAAAGTTGTGTTTCTTGTCTGTTTATCATATTAGAATCGTAACAAAGACCTCGATTTTATGATTTATGTCAAATATGAGACCTCAAATTTTATTCTGGCCATTGCCAAAGACCTCAATCGCTACGCGATTCCGGTCTTTTAATAATGAACAGAATAGAATGTTTGGTCATATATTATGACATAAATCAAAAAATCTCGGTCTTTATTCCTTAATTATAATTGGACATTACTGATTGTCCAGGTGATAAACCTAAGAGAAAAGGCATTTTTAGATAAAGAGATGCGCAAACAGATTTATTTGTTAATAAACGATGCTTCAAATGTTGTTTTTAATTTTCGTTTCAAGGAAAATTACACAAAAAGGACCTTTGTCTTCTTGGTCATAGTGTCAATCAAGATGATAATAAGTGTTTTTAGAAATAGATAACATATTTCTACTACCATTAACAGTTAACCATATAAAGTAACTAGAGCAATTTTCCTCAAAAGTACTTGTTTTTAACGAGATTACAATATTTACCTAATGATAAATGTCAAACAATATGATGCTCATATGTCAGATTTATCAATTTTCCAAGAACGTTTTTGTTAAATACAGATTGACATTAAAAGAGCCACCAACATAATGTTGCATAACTTATTTGTCTACATGATATCTGAATTGTTCTTAAGCACATTATAAGCTCCATGGAGCAACAGGAAGTTCTAGCTGATATCAAAGCTGAAATTTTAGCTCAAACAGAAGTACTTTTATGAAAGGATAGGTATCGATATGGTGAACTGAATTCAACAATGTTTTTCTCTTAAACCAATTATTGAAAACATTCTGTAAAAAGCACGGTCCTTTATGTAATGTTGACTAATTGACAACAATTTAATGCAACAGGTATTTATATATATTTTGTATAACTGTTTTTGTTAATATATTTTGTTTTTTAGTGCAATTGTTTTTTGTTCCTTTTTACCAATTCTTGAGAACGAAGTTATATAAAGGAAATGTTGGTTGATTTTACAAAAAGTATGCAAAAACTTAAAACAAAATCCCCTAAAATTGATAAAAATTAAGTTAAGCCGTTTATTACATTAACAAGATACATTTTTTAAAATCAACCAAACTTTCCTTTGTACAATTACAATATTGAGAGACCTAAACACGTTGTGTTTATGCCGTTTTGTTCCAATGAGGTTCGGATAGATGTTTCATTTCATTCCGAACATATGATACCAAGAACGAAAGAAGTGTCTGATGTGTTTTCTAAAACAATATCTAATGATTTTTGCGTGTACTTTCAGAGAAAGAAAGCCGAATCAATTAAACATAGGATAATATTGTTGCTATTTATAAAGTCATTATAACTTATTTACAAAATTATGTTACAAACGGTGGGTGGCATTTTCGTGTATAATCCAGGTGTGTCTGCAAAGGATTAGATGACACTTTTAACACTCATAAAGGTAATCGTAGCTAGTCATCTGAAGCCTCTTGCAGAGTTGCTCCATGAAATAAAATTTTAATGTGCTAAAGAACAAGTCAAAATTCACGCAGACAGAAAAATTATGCAACATTATGTGGGTGGGTGGCATGTTTGTCTCACGCGGAATAAAAGAGGCCGTTTTCTTTTGTGTCCGGTTTTGGGGATGTTTTTCATTTAATTATCGTCGATTATTCTTTGCATGTATTAAGCTCTTATGATGGTGTATTATGTGAAATCCCTGTGCCTGCCAGCTCATGATTATGTTTTGAAAAATATTCGTGAAAACTCTTTGCAGTTTGTCATAAGGACATATACAGGGTGTCAAATAAGTCCCGTCCCCCCCCCCCTCTACAGCCAAAACCAAGATAATTGGTACCAAGTGTGATATATCATTGGAAAGGTCTTCCAAAGTTACGTTGATTGGCATATATCTGACAAATGTCAATCAATCTCACAAATTCACTGTATCAATTGAGGTGACCATAGGCCTAGAAACATGGCAATTTGGCGTATTTGGCAGGATTTTAAGAATCTGGTATAAGAAAGGTCAAAGGACCAAAAGATGACTAAATAGTAAATATGTATATGGCAATGAATTTAACCAATTGCTGGATAGGGTTAGAGGTGTAAAAAATAGAGGTGCAAGGAAAGTGGGGAATCCTTTTTTATGTAACAAGTGACGTTTTTTGAGGTCATATCCTTGTCATTTTGACGCAAAAAGTTGCTTAAAGGAGGGCACGTTAACTATGTAGGACATCATGAAAATATAGGTAAATTTCATCCAAAATACTTGAGAGTTGGTGAGTTAACATAACTTTGGATGATCTTTGCAATGGTATATCACACAAGGTACCGTCTAGAATAATGTCCAATATAGCTGAAACGATGTTTTCAAAATCAGACCCTATATATTTCAATGGGGAAAACCCCGGATGTAAAAATGTGTACCCAGAATTAGAGCTCTTCAACACGGGAGGTAAGAATATTGTTGTAATTCTTTCGCTATCGCGTTTTAGTCTATTTACTTTTATGTGTCTGCCTTTTCTTATTCTTAAATTATGTCCAAACAAAGAAATATTATCTTAAATGTCAGAAATACATGTCAGTGTATGCAAAATGACACAAATTAACTCTTTTTAATATTTTCCAGTTGCTATATAGTAGGGAAAGGACCTGTCTTGGGTACCATATTATCTTAGTTTGTCTAACTCCTAAATCATTCTGATTACTGAGTTGTACTATAACATTCAGCTACTCCTTACTTGCTCTTGTAGATGATATTCCAAATGGAGGCGCAAAATCCGCTTTCCTCAAAGATGTATCTAAAAAGATGGCAGACGTTCTGAGCTTCGTCGATTATGACACCATGCGTAGATTGTGTATGCTGCTAAATCCACCCGATGTATTTGGCAATGACTGGCGGATGCTTGCCGATAAGATGGGATTTACATTTCTCGAGATACGTAATATTCAACAGCGCGAGAAAAATCCGACACAGGCACTACTGTTGGTGTATAAAACACGCACGGGTAAAGGTAACAAAGAACTCCTTAATGACCTACATGACTACACTTTATCAATGGGTCGAGAGGACTGCGTTACACTTTTAAAGCATGTATTGGAGGGTGAAGATGGGGACGATTTGAAGATCGATATGTCTGCGCTAACGTGTGGACAGGATAGCATTCTTACTGAACAAATAATAGGTAAATCATTTGGACGACAAAAGCTAGAAAATCTAAGCCATCATCAGAAGAGGCTCCGTTGAATAGTACTTCTTTTCCTCATCACTCTACGAGTCAACATAATTATTAACATAATATTTCACAATTCTTGTTCCCTTGTGTCCCATTTGAATCATAAATGACATTCATTTCTTACAAGACAAACTGATCATGAAGACAATAACAGGTTATTATTTCTTGACTCCCTTCTTCTATCAACTAATACTGTGTTTCGCTTATTACTTAGCAATATTTTTTTGTTCACATAAGTTTTTTTTCATACTTTAAAAAGATTATTTGAGAAAACGTGTCATGATATAAAGGAAAAATAATTCTAAAATATGTAAAATGTCTCTCTATTAATAATATAAATGTTGATTTACAGATGCTTCCGAGTTTTACTACGGCCGGTTATGCTGTTTATTGTTAAAAGAAGGCACTGAGCAGATAAGAGAATATTTGCTGAATAACTTGCCATATGGATTTGACAACATATTCGATGTGTTACGCAGCAAAACATATAAGATGCAGTTCCGACTTCTCAGAGAACAGGAAAAGCTAACCCAGAACCAATTTAACACCCTGTACCCGCCATCTTGTGCAGCAAACCCCTCTGTCTTTGACCAGGAATTACTGTTTGTCTTGATCAAGCATCTCATCAAAAAGAACGACTTGGACTGGCGCAAGTATCCACAGGTGGACAAAATCGATCCAGAATATGACGTCATCAGATTGAGACATTTACGTCATCGGCTTATACACAAATCAAAAAGAGATCTAAGCCAAAACGAATACGACCAACTTTTCGGTGAAATTTCTCAGATTTTATTGAGAATGGGGCAAAGCCCGGAATCCATACGCAAATACAGCGATCGTGTACCAATATCTGATATTCCAGACCTGAAGCAAGAGTATTCCAAAGCGGTGGCACAGTTGAAGGAAGAATTTATCAGAGCCACAATGGCGGTGGACTTTACCCCTACTCGAAAGTTCAACAGATTCATGATTCTCATCACTCTATGTTTTGTTACGATGATCATAGGAATCTCGATGTTTGTTGGCATTTATCTGTCCAATAAACCCAATGGAAGATCAAAATGTGCTGAAAGCCCGGTGTCTATAACCAACAGTAAGAAAAATGTGATAAACTATATTCACTGACAGGGATTTCACTAGAATTTCTCACAACAGGGTGTTACTTAAGTACTTAATAAATGAAAACAACAGGCAAAATTAATGGAATTGTTAAAATAATGGAAAAGTTGAAAAGTCTCTCCAGGCCCTCGTGAAATATCATATTGTCCCTCGGAATAAACCCATATTTAATTCTGACCAGTAAATAAGATTTTTATCCTGTGATGTCATAACTCTCTTCATAAAATCATCGGTTCAAAATCCATATCTGATTTTATATGAAACAAAACCAGACTACCAGTATGGTTAAAAAAAATACAACTTCCACAGCTTATAAAGATAGCTACTGAACAGTAAGTGTTCTCCTTTCACATTTGTTTCAGAGGAATCGGGTATGTTCCGCTATAAGAGCAGAGAAACATGGGGTGCGAGACCTCCGATTAGTCCACTGACGCGTTTTAAGAAACCAGTTAAATACGTCATCATAATACACACAGCTGGCCTTGATTGTGTTGAAATGGTTGATTGTTGCCAGAGCGTTGTTGAAGCACAAAACATACATATGGATAAGAAAAGTAAGTAAATCAAAGGCATGTACAATAATAGTATTTCTGTTGGAACCATTGAACTCATGACAATGATTCTATGCCTCACTGACATTCATCATATTTTCCTTATATATAGTGTTCACCATAAATAAATGACACCTGGATTTTATATCACCATTTCCAGACCAATAATGTCTAGATATACATCGCTTAAGTTTTGTACATTTTACATTTTGTATACTCTCATCCACTGATGTATAGCCTCTTGAAAATTCTCTCCTTTTTAACATGGGAAATCCTCACTTCAGCAAACCCAGGTGTGATTTATTTATGGTGAGCACTGTAATTCATTTTAGACATGTCTGATATCGGCTACAATTTCCTAATCGGTAATTATGGTGTTGTATATGAAGGACGGGGATGGCGCTTTGAGGGAGAACACTCCAGAGGGTAAGACCGGAAGTACATGATTGAATATCAATTAATGGTGCGATTTGTATTTATGGATAAAAAAGTCCATTGAATGATTTTACTTTACTGATTTAGCTGGAACAACCTATCAATTGGAATTGCATTTATTGGTGATTTCCGCATGAGACTACCGGATAAGAAAGCAATGCAAGCGCTCGAAGAAATTCTTTTCTTCGGAATCCACAATCGGTATTTGAAGCAAAAATACATTATGTACGGCCATTGCCAGGTAGCGCCTTATTTGAGTCCAGGGGAGACTCTCTACAATGAACTAATGAGGTGGCGTCACTGGGTAAGCTAAACACAAGTCATTTTATCCTTCGGTGTATTTGTTTCTGGATGCCGAAATAGTTAGCTTAACGTTTTGTTCAACCTATGCACCCGACAATCATGAATCGCAAATAATATTGCCATTTATCCGATGGATATTAAATCGGTAAAAATGGTATCCCTCAAAACTCATAGGATATCCTCTAAATACTAATTGTGGATATGTCAATCTGCTATTTTAACTGATTAATTGTAGAAATACCGCAACGTAACATCAGACGCAAAGCTAGAGGGAAACAGAACAAGTTATTGCTTTGACAAGAAACCCCCACAAATGGTAGCAATTCCTCCTTGAGCGTGTATAAGCTTGGAAATTACGAACAGTTCGGAAATCATCTTGTTTGTCACTCCCTGAGGGTACTATACACTTCACTAAGTATTCCAATGACGAACATATTCAGAGTGATTTCCTTATACACACTACTAACACATAGAAATGCATAAGATACTTTGTTTGTCCATTTGTATTGTTAAGTATATTTTGAAAGTACCTTATTAACATCTAACGCCATCCAATAAACCATTCATAAGGAACAGACAAATAAAAACAAATACATAATCATTACTAATAAGCCAAATGGGTTGCTCATGAACACCAAATGCAAGGAGTTTTATAGTGTTATTAAGTTAGAAAAGTCCCTTATCCTGTTTTCCTTACAAGTATGTGATACACAGTACAGTGTGACCCATAAAACATAATCGATATCGTGTTTTACATCTCAAATTCACTCCGGTGGCAAACACTGTAATCAAGTCATCAACACCAGTCGAATATGTGGCATTCTCAAAAAGAAATTAAAAAATTAACTAGAATCTACGCAACAACCAAATATAATAAGCCTGTCAATCCAGGGAGGCCTAAGTGGATTATTAAAAACACCCCGAAATGCTTAGATTTTTGCACCTCCAATGGAAACTTTAAGCAATGCATATAAAATCGAAACGGCAACCTGTACGCAGAAATCGCCCTATTCAAATGCTTATTTTAAAAAAGCCCGTATTTAGAGCTGAAATATGTATGACGTACATCATTTTACTTCAGAAATCATTATACTGTACATCGAAATCAAGATTGCCAGCGTAGTATTCAATAGACATGAGTATAGTGATTCCTGTTGACACCAGCGTGGAATTGCAAATCTCCCGTTTAAAACACGAAACTGAAGCTCATCGGGTATCTGAAGAAGACGAATTAGCGCTTATTTTCTATGCGCGCTATACACATTATACCTGGGTAACAAATTCTCCGACCCATCGGCCGGCTCCCGGCCGATTGACTGTTTTGTTCAATATTGTATTCAATTTTGAACAAAATACTAAATCGGCCGGGCGCCATAGTGAAAATCGGAGCAAATGTGACCAAGGCATTTCTGAACTGATTCATGGACTTTGCGTTCACTTTGCGTTTTGAAAAACATTGTAAGATTAAAGTCTCCAGTCTTTTAAAATAGCACGCAGTACACACAATTACTTGTCGTTGCTATAGTGTCACCAATGCGATTAACTTGTAATCAACTTTATCTGAAAGATGAATTGAGAATAAGGTCAAACGACAAGCCCTGGTACAATGATGATATTGCTCATGCCATTCTAAAGGAGAAAAAATTATTTTCTAAATCTAAGAAGTACAAAAGAGAATAATACTATTTAGCCTATACGGCCCAATCAGATTTAGTAAAAATCTTATTAATGAGTCAAAGGTAAATTACACTAATTATCAAGTTGAACAATTAAATGGTGAAACAAACTCTGGAGATATATTCTGGCACTTATTGAGAAATTATTAGGTAAGCAATTTAGTTCCCAAATTCCTACTATGCAAACAATACTAATTCAATATCTAGTCAAGAAAAAGCTGATGAATTCTTAAACTATTTTGTGAACATGTACCACTCTGATGAGATATATGTTAACTTTATATTCCCTTTCAGAAGTCGTTTCGAAACACAAACCAGCCATGTTTTAATCATAAGAGTTGAAATTATAAAAACTCTTTCTTCATCAAAAGCATTTTATAACAGTTAAAATGCTTCAACTTTGCTCTAATTCAATAAGTTTCTACTCTACTTTTATTATTCAAAAAACTTCTCAAGGACCAAACTTTTCCAGATGTTTGGAAACCCAGGGACATTTGCCCCATATTTAAGAAAAACAAGAATGACATTATTAATTATAGACCCATTTGACTTTTTTTGAAAGAATCATACACAATAGAATGTATAAACATCTCATCTCATTCTTTATAAATTTCAATCAGGATTTCTGTTTTTCTCGACATTTCCGCTGCTTTTGACAAAGTTCCGCACAGGTTACTACTTTATAAACTCACTCCTTCGCTCATACCTTACTAACAGAAAGGTCAAAGTCACCGTAATTGAAAAAACATCAACTTCATCTCCTGACAACCACATTAATTGTAGTGTCCCTCAAGGAAATATTCTTGGGCCTTTAATGTTCCTTATTTATATCAACGACCTCTCAGATAACCTAGCATCTTGCTTTATTTATGCAGACGATGCGTTAATCTTTGTACCCTCTACTTCAACTGATTTGACCTCCCATAGACAACTTAAAAGTGATTTATAAAAGTAGAAGAGTGGGCTTCTATTTGGAAACTTGATTTCAAACCGGAAGAAGTAAGGAACTTGTATTTTCAAGGAAAAACAGGGGGGAAAACAATCAAAGTGTCATTTTAATAAGTAGAAATATTCTCAAAGTAAATACACATAAACACATTGGCTTCTTACTTGACCACAAATTAAAGGGAGATGCACACATAAATTACTCTATTGCCAAATTCAAGCGGCATTAAATCTCAAAGGGAAACTAAAATCAAAACATTTAAAAAATGTTAATAATGGCTACATGCAATCTTTATTTCACTACTGTGATACTATCTATGATTGTGTTTCCCAGCAGGAGTGATCGTGTCGAGGATTCTGCCAAGTTCAAATAGTTCCAAAGTGTTTTTAGATTTTAAATTGGTCACCCTTATCAGAACGCAGATTAGTTCATTTCAAAATAACTATGTTCAAAGTTTGCAATGGTCTACTTCATTAATATATAGCTGATATATTTACTCCATTCCAAAATCAAATTGTCAGAACATTGAGATACCCTTATGATTATATAATACTCAAAAAAAGATCACCAATTTTCAAAATGATGCAAACATGGAACAATATCCCGCCAGATCTTAAGTGCTCAACTTCTTTAGCCTCCTTTAAAAATTAACTAAAAGGTAAAATGTTTACAGGCACATAATATTGAGCTCACAATTAAATGCCCATAACTGGACCAATGTAGATTCTCCGAATTGTACTTATGGCTCCCAGAAACGTTTAAACACATCTTTTTCAACTGTCCCCTAAGAAAACAAAATGGCGAACGATTTATCCATGAAATAGAATTTATAGTTTAACATATCAACATACACAATCAACTTATTTCTTTCTGGCGATTCAAACTTGATCATTTTAATTATAACGTTTATTTCAACTCACTTCAATATGTTTCATAGACAACGTTTGACTTGCAAATATACCTCAGACCCTTCTTTTACCCACCCCACCCCTATAATAAGCAGCAGCAAATTTATCCCCTTCCTTTAACATAATTATTGTATTCAACAGATCTTTATTTTATATTTGTCAAAAATGTTAGATATTTGAATCTTGCATGTGCTCTTTATTGTAAATATTTATATGAGGACATGAAATGCCGGAAGGCGATTTGCCCCAACCCTGTCTATTCATTGTATACTCGTTTGTATTTATGAAATAAACCTTCTGATTAAAAAACACATACATATTTCTATAGAGGGGCTTTCTGCATGTTGACAATCCTATTCATATTTGAATTCGAAGTGTTTGATGAATGACTATTACACAAAGAAAACAAATGTCACGTGAGTTAACAAGTGTCTAGATCGTACATGTACTAGCTAAAGTACCTTATCACCATACCTGTACACGGCGATAATACATGCTCAAGTAAAGTGTACACCCGTAGCACACTGTGGCTAGTCGATCTATGTGGATGCAGTCAGGCACATGTAATGTTTCGTGAGTACCCACCTCTGTACTTTTCAATGGAAGAATTTTGCACTTCTGTTTAAATAATCTATATTTACTCATCCGTGTATATCATACTTCATTGATTTACAAAACCAAAGCTACGCTATAAACACACATTCTCTGATATTTTTACGGAGAATAGATAACTCAAACGAGTTCACTCGACCAGTTTTACCATCTCACTCATAGCTGTGAGAAGGTATGTATAATTTGCCATAGGTTTACCTTGTAATGGGGAATAAAAAATTCAAGTAATATAATTATTTCACATTCACAAATATGAAGTAAAATACAAATACAATGCGTTCTATAATATTTTTGGAGTTATGGTATGAAATATCAGCTTTAAAAAAGCAATTTAATTATGATGTATCATGTGGATTAGTAGACGTTCTGATTGGATTCATTGAACAGACTGGCTAGGTTCAATTGAATCATTTTGAATGTGTGTATTTTTAATATTTTAATCCACAGTGTCCGAAAACAATAATAATGCTATATTGGTAATCGGAAAAATTCCACTTACCACGATTTCAAAAAATTGTAAATAGATAATACTATTCTTGAATGATGGTCATTTGTTTCAAGGAATCTGGAGGCTCGTTCAGCTGAGCTGACAAAATCATCAAGATTTACGGATGGTCCATCTGTTGGCTGCTCATTGTCACCTTCAATGAATGTTAATGGCTCTGAAACTGGTAGCCTTGCCCAAGTCGGTATTTATTTACTTATCTGATCTTGAATTATTACCACCTTGTACAATCCATTGTATCATCGCTGATATTATGCTAACTTATTCAGCGGTTCCGAGATTCCCATAATACCTAGGCTACCTAAGGGTATCGCAAAACCATATTGATTGACAATATGGACATGGACACAACGTGTGACTTCAGGCTGATTGACCAATCAAAACGTTATCAGGTTGACCTGCATAAAAAAGCAAACTACCCGTCTAGGACTTGAAATTCAATGATCTGATCGAGTGTTCCTTGAGAGTTACAATATATTATGTTATTAAATGTACATTGGAATGTAAGTAGTCATTAATACTCGTCTAAATGAAATCATGCAATTCAATGTTGATTCAAAATCAAAACTGAATTCGCGATGGAAATGCACGAAGACCTTGTCAGGCAATGTAGGGCCGTCGTTGATTTGTCAAATTTTACGGACAAAAACATTGGGTCGGTAAAGCACATGGCTTTCTCTTGGGTACAAGAGGGTCATAATAGAAATCAAGATAAGTAAAATAGACCGACTTTGGCAAGGCTATGAAACTTGATTTGTGGGTATTCCAGTGGGTCGATGGGTCTTTTGCTCTGAATTCACTTCATTCTAATTTCAACATTTTCATTATCATCATTACATGTTATGGACCCGTTTTTCAAATTAACAGTATCAGCAATAAAACCATAGTTTTTGGCTCACACAGTGAGACTATGGGATCGACCAGGCGTCCGTCCGTTGGTCCGTCCGTCCGTCCGTTGGTCCGTCCGTCTGTCAACATTGGCTGCACAAATTAAAACTGCTATTCGAATTGAGTCATTTCCACATTCATTTTATGCATATCCATAATGTCTATTTGACCTATCATCGCCATTTCCCAAGTTCGCCCAGTTTCCGAGAAATTGCTGATTTTTAAATTTCGAGAAAAATCGATCTGATGATAGCCTTATAGAAAGTCAAGAGAAGTGAAGAAAAGATTGAAAAAATACCAGTCCAGTCCATTTCCAGGTCCAAGTCCAGGTCCAAGTCAAGGTCCAGTTCAGGTCCAAGTCCAGATCTGGGTGTAATCCGGTTTAGACCAGGTCAAAGGTCAAGAACTAGGTCAAATCCAGTACTTTGTCATTTTTTTCAATTTTCTCAGTCGTCCTTGAATATTTTTGCTCCGTTTTTTTAATCATATTCCTCGGAAAAAAGCCAATCCCTACAGGCAAGTTGTTTTTGATCACTCTTACCGTTTTTGAGATATGGCATCCGAAAAGTAGGTCACAATAAAAAGTTCTCGGAATTAAATGTATAAGTTATGAAGTATGTGTAAAATTGTCTAAGGAATCCGAATCTGCAAACCAGATTTTGATCCAACTTCCGGTTCAGAAGTTATGGCATTTTGAAATCTCAAAAATCACTATTTTGGTATCCCATGTTAAGTCAATGGGGCTTGAGAAAATTATCAATTGTAACAACACAACACTAGATACAGTTTGGATGTAGCCAACTTAATAAGAATCTACAATAGAAGCCGTCCCTCAAAATCTACTTTCCTTCAAAATTTGAACACTAAAAGGCCCAGGTCAAAATCTAGGTCAAATTCATAGTTTTTCTTTTGACTACAACAAATCATCTTTAATTGATCTCATATTTACCAATACTTTTGTTTGTAAATCAGGATATACATTCCTCTGTAGGTTCTACACTGTGTGAGCACAGGACCGTGGGTCCTTTATTTCATCTGTAATGGCATTTTCCAGTTGATGGGTTTATATATAGTATTTTCAATTTTTCATGAGGGTGCCTTTAGACTACTTGTAATGGGGTGGCTTATTACTTTACTGAATGAGGAATGTTTATCCAAACAATGGATACAAAGAAAATCTGGCCAGTTGTCCATCAGTAAATAAATCATCATGATAAAAGTATAATTTATTAAAGCATCCATTTGTTACCGTTCTGAATCCAAATGATACATAGGTGCATCCATTTTATACATATATGTTGACGTTTACGAAATGTTTTTCAAATATCTTCCCTTTAACTGGAATATGGTAGCTGAAACGTTCACACATTGTCATACTATGTATATTGAATATGTGTGCAAGATTTCAAGTCACAATGTTAAGTAGAAACTCTGAGATCACTTACCTCGATTTGCTGTCATATTTTTGCAATGATCCCATTCCCTATAATGAGTACCCACGATACATTACATATAAATGACTGCATCCACATAGATCGACTAGCCACAGTGTAGCACCATGGAAAGTAAAACTATGATATCGTTCTCCTCGGAAAATTCCAAAGGTGATTGCCCAGGAAGCCTAAGTGGGGATATAACAAAATCTCGCAAAGGTCTTATCGTGCTACAGGAATGGTGGGGAATGAACGAACAGATACGAAACCAGGCTCTAGACTTAGCCACTAAGCGTAACTTTATTACTCTTGTTCCTGATTTATACAGGTATGTACATCTTGACCATTACCATATACAATGTGAATGTGAATATATATACTTCATACTTGAGTAAACAATGGTGATATCCTGGAAGTCAAGAGGGGGGTGGGCAAGTCATTTGTCTATAAATATGGTTACTATTTTTATTATGTCACCACCAAAAAGTGATGACATATATAAAGTTATTGTCTTCGTTTTTGTGACGGCGGTTGGCGTCCGGCGGTTTGTGGTTTGTGGTTGAAACAAAATTCTAATTTATTTCACTTACCTTTAATTGATTCTCCAAACATATTCTTTTAACATCAAATAAGGATGTTGATCAGGGAAATTCTGTACCATTTCAATCAAAAACCTTGTTTTTACGAGAAACAATCAATTGTGATGATACGTCATGGACCAGCCCATTCAAATGATCAGGGAAATGATCAGGGAAATTATGTACCATTTCAATCAAAAACCTTGTTTTTACGAGAAACAATCAATTGTGATGATATGCCATGGGAGTGGTACCAGGTTGTAATAGACGTGTTATGTGATTGGGGAACTGTAGGTTTGTGATCACGGAAAAGAAATTTTGAAGAAAACTTTCATAATTACCTTAATGCTCTAGGTACAAAACAAAATAGATATACTGAAATTAACTCGATTCTGTGAAGCTAACAATTGTAACATCCCTGTCAATTTTAAGATCATCCTGCGCCATTTTGGATATCCCATGTTTCCCAATTAGAAAGGCTAAATGTTGTTTAATTAGAAAGGCTATATGTTGTTTAATTAGAAAGGCTATATGTTGTTTAATTAGAAAGGCTAAATGTTGTTTACACATAGGATAATTATGGTTAAAATCAAGGAAAGGTTTGTGAAATAAATTAGCACTTGGTTTCAAAATTATGCACAGGACAGTGTTTAACTATGAAATGCTGACTGGCTTCTAATCGCCAAAAATTTGAATGGCAAAATTTCTAAAATGTTTATTACAGGGGTAAATGTTCAGATGACCGAGAGGAAGCTGGCCATTTAATGGCAGGTCTTGATTGGATGGGGGCTGTTAAAGACATTCAAGGTGCGGCAAAGTACCTCATTAGCAAAGGATGCGCAAAGGTAAAATCACTTTCAAGCTCCACGATTCATCAATTTAATATTTTTCCCTGGTAACATTTGTTAAAACAAGTCCGTATCCTATACATGTACATAGAAGTATCAAAAATTGACTGGAGTTGTAGCAAAGAAAAGATTGGTAACGATGTGGCGAACTGAATTGAACACATGTTTCAAAAATTCAAAAATTCTGAAAGTTTTACACATCGTCAATCTAATGATCATCTTTTGAATGGTAACAATTTTAATTTGAAAAATATATATAAACTTTTCTCTATATTGTATTAGAAAACACTTCAGACACATCTTTTGTCCTCGGTATCATATGTTCGGAATGCAACGAAACATCTAGTGGAACCTCATTGGAACAAAACGACATAAACACAACGTGTTTCGGTCTCTCAATATTGTAATTGTACAAAGGAAAGTTTGGCTGATTAAAAAGTATCTTGTTATCTTGAAGTATCTTGAAGACTGAACGCTCTATCTTGTATGAGTACTTGTATCCTCAATTATTTTTGAGGTTATGAGTATTGGCTATCAATTGGCTATCAATTTTTTCTTCAACATGTATTGTTATGACTTTAGTATGAATGAAATGTCCCTATATGTATATCTGTTGAAGAAATAAAAGGTTTACTTTACTTTTTTTATCTATTTGGGGGGTTTTTGTTTTAATTTTATGAATACCTTTTGTTGAATCAACCAAATTTTCCTTATTATAACTATTGAGAGGTCTAAGAAAATGTTGTATATGGTATTTTGTTCCAACAAGGCTCGGCAAGATATCTTAGTTCGTTCTCTAGAATTGGTAGAAAGGAACAAATAACAGTTTCACTAAAAATCAAAAATGTTAACAAATACGGTTATAAAAAATAATTATATTTAAATACGTTTCGCATTAAATTGTTCTCAATCAGTTACCATTACATAAATAACCGCGTTTTTCACAGAATGTTTTCAATACTTGGTTAAAAAAGAAAAATAATGCTGAATTCAGTTCGCCATATCGTTACCAATCCTTTGTTCTTGATTTTTACTATTATAGGTTGGTGTGACGGGATTTTGTATGGGAGGCGCGTTGAGCCTTGCGGCTGCCGCGTTGGTTCCAGAGATCTCTGCATCGGCGCCATTTTATGGAATCCCTAGCCCCGACTTGTGTGACGTCACTAAAATAACCATACCAGTTCAAGGTCACTTCGCGGAACTTGATAATTTAGTTGGATTTTCATCTCCAAAGGATGCTCAAGAATTGAAGAGGAAATGCGACGCTGCCAACGTACCATTGACTCTGTATATATACGAAGGAGTTGATCATGGGTTTAATCATGTAGGGGGGCCTAATTACAATGAGGAGTTCAGCACATTGGCGTTGAAGCGCATGAGCGATTTCATGAGCGAACATTTATAGACTTCATACATTTGTAATAGGCCTATTGTCTTCATCAACAACAGAGACTTTTGAAGTAATATTCACGTCTTCGCTTGTAACCGTCACAACCACATTTAGTATCATCATTTATTCACTCAAACAATAAGTGTGAAATTAATTTTGTTAAAAAGTGAAAAAAAATCTAAAATGTTTTTTTCAAATAGACATATAGTATATATCTGTATACATTTGTTCATTCGTTACCCAAGGCATTGAAGTAAACTCCAAGGAAAAATAAGCGAATTTTCAAATTGAAGTCAGGGTCCGTCTAAAACATGTCTATTTTCACATCTTGACCCCCTGATTAATACGTCAAGTTATTCAAATTAGAATGCAACATTTTCAAAAAAACAAGTATGTTCCTCATGGTACTTAACTGTCCTTTAAAATTGGAAATGGATTTGGACTGCAAGCTCTTTCTTTTTGATGTGCATTACTTGTCAACATGAACCAATAATATCTATCATTTTTCTCGATTTTTTACTTACCTTTTGTTTTTCATTTGAATAAAATTGAAAGGGTCGACTTTATTGAAACATGAATCGATGCGATCATGAAAAATGATCCTAAAGACGATAAAAAATGATAACAGTTTTAGTTGGGAAGAATTGATCATTACGCTAGTTCACTATTCATCCACATGTCGATTTTCACAAGACATTTAGAAACAAATGATCACGATTTAGAAAGTTCACTTTAGGGATCGCTTACTTCACGAATCGACATTTTTGATGTGTATGATATAACTACCTGAATTGAGAAACATCCAGTTTGTATTTGTATCCAAATATGACCACGTTTATGTAAAAGGATGTGTCTGGATATATGCCCTTTTGGTCCCTCAGTCAAATGTATGTGAAATATGGTTTTTATTACTGTCCTAGTTATATTTGATAAGTATTATTTACTTTTTCATGAGTTTTGATGCATAATTAACCCCCTGCTGAGAGTCAAAATAAGTATCTTAACAAATAAAAAAGGGTCATTATCATAGAAAAAACACCAATGGCAACATGTATGACATACAAAAAAGAAATAACTTAAGATCCATGAAGAATTAAAAAGAAAATCATATTTTTGAAATATATTTAAGGATTAAAATCTTTTTCAAATTTTTGAATTTCCAGCCAGTTTAATTTGAAGGGGGAAAAACAAGATGGCTGCCATTTGATGTAAGAAATATCAGAAAAAAAGTTGCTTCACTTTTAGTTTTCACATTGAGCACAGTTTTGCGGTTTAGGTTTTTTAATTGATTCTGACTCTTCAACAGCAGGGTCATGTATAGAGATTATAAAATTGAAACCAAAATGTTGTGCTCAGCATGAATTTGACTGAAATATGTGTAACTTCACCAACACAATTGAAGTGTCAAAATTGGATGCTCAGTACCTTTGAGTGACTATAATCCCTTGATTACCCAGATAAACACCAATTCACTTATCCAGAAATACCATTCAATGTCTATACAAAGAAAGTAAGCAATGTTTTGGAGGATATGTTTCACACTTTTTGTATAAATAATTCATTTAATATTTGCCATTTATTTTTTTTCAATTCTGACAAAGTGATATGCACTGTCTTTGATCCCAATATTCTTCATCCATTGTGATACAAATTGATATTTTTGTAATCTCACAAGAAGGATAAGATATTGATGTTTAATAATATGTGTGATTGAGTTAGTTTTTCAGACATTAAAATTTTCAATATTTTCTAAGTCGATACCCAGACTCATTCCCAGACTCATCCTTTCCCGTCGAAACCCGACATACGTAAAACATGATTTGCAGAATCCTGTTGTGTTTCACATTTTATTCTAAAATATCGTCAAAGAAAATAAACGTAGGACATGTACGTATTACGTCCGCAAAGTTTATATGCACTGAACACATCTTTTCTACATCCTTTTCACACCAACTTTACCAAAACATTGCACTGATTCATGAGACCAGGGTTTACATTTTTAGATTGAATGAGAATTGGGTGACAGATGCCATGTCGTTAAAATAATTTTTTGACACCCTTGGTATATGTTTTCCCTTTTTATCTCATATACCAGGTATGGTACCTTGACTTGTTGTTTACAATTTGTGTAATTTTTCCTTTAGGTTTAGCTTTTAATGCATGCTTAGACCAGTTGCAGGTTGACGTAGTGACGTTTTTCCTGCACGCATCACAACAGGACAACCATTTACGTAATATTGGAGTATAAACAGCATCTATCTAGATATCTAGATCTGAGCTGTCCCTTCAACATATTTCAAATCAAGAACTCGGTCCTTATTCTACTCGAGTGTACGTTATCAATTGAACTATATGATATTGATGTCGAGTCGAGTCCAGTAAGGCTGATGTATACGCATAGTTCAATCATAAAAATCATCTGCACCGGTGTAGAGACGTTTCTTTTGACACCATTATCTGCGGAGCGCTTCGCCGATGAACCCCCCCCCCCCTCTCTCTCCAAGTTCCTATCACAAGACTCTTTTCCATGACCACCGGAAATGTTTTAATTACTATGCTTTGGCTCATTCTGAGCTTTTTGTTTTAGTCGCTATAATTTCCGCTTTAGAGAAACAAATTTCTTTCTTGTCAGACTCGATCTCTTTTCCGGATTTCTGATTTCACATCTCATAGCTTTTGCTATTAAATTTGTTTCTTCTGATGTTTTGTTTGAAGCTCTGGAAGTCTATATATTTTTAGTGGTTTGATTTTGAATCTTGTACATCAGATCGTGATGTATCTAGTAGATCAGATCGTAATAATGAAATTAAAAAGTAATGATAAGCAAATAAACATCGTTAAAAAGCTATAAAATCTTTCATATTACAAATAAGAGATGTCTGTTTATGCTGTTCACCATTGAGAATGATGCATTCATTGAAAAGGAAACTGAACCCGAACGTTAATAGACTTTATGATTGAAGTCAGCAATTCCCGGGAATGCACTGAACGAAACGCTATTTACAGAGGCTAACACATTTTGGGCTATAATGGTCGTCATAATGATTTTTTTAGTAAAAATCTTTCGGTAAATTACGCTTATGGAAGTTCCAAATAACTTATCATCTGCTTGCATGTAACGTATTTTTGTAAAGACGTATAAAATGGAAAAGGTATGCTGAACAAAGAGAAAACTCTTTAGCTGTTATATTTTCATTGTCTATCAATTGATCTTTATGCGTATATTCGGAAAACTGTTATACATGTGTTATCAGTGTATTGGTAATCATATTAAATAAAATCAATCCATCTGTGATTAATACAAATGACTAATTCACTGCTTTGAGTTACATGGTATAACCATGTCGATTTTCACGCATGTCGATTGTCACAGTTTCACACCATATTCGCTCAAAGATGGGACCGTGCTGGTCATTTCATAAAATATTTTCCTTAAAACAGAGTGGATATATTGTTTTCTTGAATAGTGTCCGTCTTTACACTAGAATGCTGCCCATGTTTGAATTACATCCTGGTCGTTTTTCACAAGAAAATTGGTGAATTTTCAGAAATTTTCAGATAATGCTCATTATAATTCAATCACAATTATTATCACGATTTGGAACATGCTGGTCTGTTCAACTGAATGAAGGACTTGCTAACCACATATAACTAATTTTTCTTGGATTCCTCTAATGCCGTGTGGGTTCGTTTAAACGACCATGTCGATTTTCACAGAATAAATTTTACATTTACTTTATTTGGTCTATATAATCGGTAATAGGTTAAGACCAAATAGAGTGCTCTCATCACACTCTGAATGAATGTTCTCTATGCCAGCATAACCAAAATTAAAAGATGCGACCATTTATTATTGAGATATGACATGTTTTCAAAAGGGTGTTGTCCTGTTACATTGATAATTTCACGAAATTCACAATTTTGAAGCAAGATATCAAAGCTGCTTTCAATCGGAACGATCAAAAAAGTATGCTGACGTAGTTCATTTAAAGGCATTATACTTTAGAATACATAAAATGATGAGCAACAATACGTTTAGTGTCAGCTATGTTCAATAACATGAAAAATGCCAGTTTTTAACACTTATTTGTTTTCACTGTATTGCGCAGTTCTATACATATTCTTACATATGGACGACAATTTATAAGGATATCACACTTATGGACGTAAAAGAACAAATACCGTGTTAGTTCAACAAACCATGATAGTTCTACAGACAGACAACCTGTTATATAACACCTATCAATTTTCCAACTTGTTTTTAATTTGTTCATACATCATTTGAGTATACGCGTTTACAAGGTCATTGTTTACCCTTCTATTTGTCTTAAAAAATATCACCTCAAATGGCGATATATTAATGTTCGAAAAATACAAATTTTGAAAGTATGGATCTCCATAACGCTTCCCTTTGATGTCATGTTTGCACATCTTACGTGTAGTTTCCTCATCTCGGAAGTCGTGACCTTCCCAGCGTTTCAACATTGATGCAATGTTATACCCTGCTTCTATAAATGCTTGGGACAGTTTTACTTCAACGTTATCGATTACAGATTGTTTGTCAGTGTAACCACATTGAAGCATAGGCTCAACGATCCTAAGTCCAGCCAGGTCAGTAAGCAAAAACATTGATTGCAAATGTAACTTATTTTTAGGATATCTTGGGTGGGGACAGCAAATACTTGTTCCAACTAGTTTGATGTCTTCTGATAAGTGTTTTGTAAATAATGAAGTCCAGTCCTGATCTGCTAAGTAAGTGGGTAAGAAGGGTCCACGCACTGATGCATTCATAAAAAATACATATTTGTACCAATTTTCTCCCTTTTCTCTCTTCATCTTTTCAAGACCCTGTTTCCATGCACACGCATCAAAGCCATTGTTCTCTCGTTTTATCACATGTACGTTATCCTGTGTCGGTATATCTGCTGTACACGTGAACCCATTCGCTATGATGACATAATCAATGTTTTTTGTGTCCTTTATGGCAAAATCCAAGAAGAATTGAAGGTTGGCTTTTCGTTCAGGAGATTCAAAATATGCATAAAGAACAAGAATGCGTTCAACAGCAGCTGCATCACTTGTTCCGCCTGACGCTACATGGCCATTGGTACCTATAACATTGAAGATGTACACATATACGTTTATTCACCTTTATTTTAACGATAAACAATCAATAAATAATGATTTTTAAAATTGCACAACGCGCATGACGGAAACATTTACAGTACATGTGCACAGGTAAGTAAGTACATTGAATTTCACAGGTAAGTATAGATGTCATGCTAGGATGAGAACTATCTAATCGATCAAAATAAACTTCAATTTATGAATATAAATACACATTTATTCACCTTTATTTTAACGATAAACAATCAATAACTCAAGCAATAAATAAATCAACGTTTCATCGTATTCCCTTTTACACTTACCTTCAGTGGCTGTCCTTTGTGTAAACCAACTTGTTTGTGCAGACTCCTCGTACACCAACGCACGGAAAACAAACACTAGTAGACCAGTGAGTAGACCTACTATCACAATTCTCTTAGACATATATCTGAAAATATAGTAACGTTTCAGCAATCATTGCAAATGCAGCCATTTTTGTTCCCGGCTAAATCTGTTATCAAGTATACGAGTTACATTCGGAACAGCACATTTTTTCTTTGTCAAATAGGGAGGTTTATGGGTCGAACGATTAATACTGTAAAGTTTGATTGCTACCACAGTTTTCAGAGGGTAGTTTGCGGTAATACGGGAAGGTTTCTCACTCTAAATCACTGCTGCCTCTCAATCGAACACTAACGTCTGCAATCTTTTTCATAAGACTGAGGCGTAAGGGAGGGGGGGGGGTCATTTGGACTTGTCTGATTTCAATAATGTTTGTATTGTTGTAAACCTTTTTCAATTAACTATTCAGAAAAGTATTGCATTCTTTAAAAAGAATAGGTCAATAAAGGTCAAATCGAGGTCAAGGTGACCTAGGGGATGTAATTTTTGACATTTTGTCATAAAACGTCAATTTCCTTTCAAAATACATTTTTAGGTGTCAAATGGTACATTTACTAAAAGAATAATGTTTTATCTTTCAAATACAACTAAAATTAAGGTAAACGCCTTTCTAAAACTGAACTTCTGCACTTCCAAAGATAGCAGGTATCGGTAAATCCTATTGAAACCAATGTAACTGGAAAATCAACAATTTCAAGTTCAACTTATGGTTGTTTTCATTAGCATTCATATTTCAAGATGTACAATAAGAAAAACAATCAGTGATTTAGAAGGAAAATGTATAAATGCTTGACTCGGTATTATTTCAATATCATGTCGGTCCATGATTTTGCCTAACAACTACCTAGCAACGGCATGAAATCAAATTAGTGAAATTGAAAAATTGGGGGCAGGGCGAAATAGAAAAATTATTTCATAAATTCATCGAGAGAAGAGAACATGTGTCATGTAATTGTCAGATTGTATTGTCGGGCTGGCAAGCCATAATTATCTTGTATTACGTCATTCTGTACTGCGATCGAGGCTTACGCCATATTGAAATAAATTGGACAAAGTCAGCCAATAATCTCTAGCATTATTCGAAATATAACGTAAACAGAACACATGATTTGCGAATACTCGGCGATTAACCGTTTTTTAACTTTAAAATTCATAACATACATATAGTAAATAGTGGCTCGATTTTCATGAAATGAAGCTCATTGGAAATGAATTCAATTTGCTAAATGATTATCCAACTGAGCAGAAATTATCACTTTGTATTTTCTAGAGTATTAAAAACAATATTTATGAATCTCAATTTTCTTGGCATCGAGAACCACCTATCATAACCTTAACCTCTATCCCCTGTCACCTCGGTTTTTACACCAAAAAAGCTGAACCGGACCGGACTAATGGTTATATTTGAATTTAAAACAGCCATAACTTGCTCAATATTGACTTCTTCATGTCTAATTTGAAATCCATAATGCCCCCGAATGATTTGAAGTACAACCCTTGATAAGAACTTCCTCAGTTCCACGATAATTTTTCTTTGGTACTTCCAACATATCTCGTGACAAGCTCCATCCCGAAGATATGGTAACATTCGAAAGGTTGACAGTTTCGTCTTAATACATCGTGTTTTGTGAGTAAATATCACTGGTCTGTAGTCACACCCGGTGATCGTGAATATGGGACGGAGGGGGGGAGCAGGCAATTTCTGCTAGGAAATTCAACAAATCTGGAAGATTTATTTTTTCAAGAAAAAGTTTACTATTGAATTGCTAAATGGATAGGCGCACGGTATGGTAGAATATGTTAGGTTTTCTGGGATTTTTTCTGAAACGATACGCATCTAAAGTATGAGATCTATTAAAAAAGGTGCAAGGCCATCAACAGGCACAAATCAACGTTTTTGCTATAAATCAAGCAACAATGGTCTGGACGACCTGTAATAAATACTTGTAAGTGATGTTATCATAACTAAATTAATGTCATTGCTGAATTTATAAAATAAGTTTCCATATGTGAAATAAAAAATAATCGAAAATAATGAATTTGGGACGGAGGGGGGGGTACGGAGGGGGGGAGCAATATGTATATAAGACATGATAAGAGACGTTTCGCGACTTTAAGTCCTTTTACTCCAAATGTCCCCATTTTTCAGTCTCCAGGGGTATATCATCCAGTTTCTTACTAAGTTAATGAGTTCATTTTTCAAATACAAGAATTCGTGTGAAGTTGTTTCACTTTATTGAATTATTACTCCCCCCCCCCTCCGTCCCCCCCCCCCTCCGCCCCCCCCCCTCCGTCCCATTTTAATTATTTTCGATTATTTTTTATTTTACGTATGGAAACTTATTTTATAAATTCAGCAATGACATTAATTTAGTTATGATAACATCACTTACAAGTATTCATTACAGGTCGTGTAGTCCATTGTTGCTTGATTTATAGCAAAAACGTTGATTTGTGCTTGTTGATGGCCTTGCGCCTTTTTTAATAGATCTCATACCTTAGATGCGTATCGTTTCAGAAAAAATCCCAGAAAACCTAACATATTCTTCCATACCGTGCGCCTATCCATTTAGCAATTCAATAGTAAACTTTTTCTTGAAAAAATAAATCTTCCAGATTTGTTGAATTTCCTAGCAGAAATTGCGTGCTCCCCCCCCCCTCCGTCCCATATTCACGATCACCGGGCGTGGTAGTTAAAATAACGAAATAATTGCTATTTGTGCAAATTACAAGCTAATAAGAGAGTGTCGCAATATGGTTTTAGTACATCGTTAATTTATTTAATTGCTCCTTAAATAATATGCAATTTTATGTGCATTAATTATAAGCTTGATTTCAAAGAAATGTTGATGACATAATTAACAATATCACTATCTAAACGTATTTTATGAAATACCTCATTGTGCGTGTGTCCACTGATACAGTTTGTAGAAGAATTTCTAGTAAGTAAACCGGTAAATGGTTAACATCGGTTAGCTTACTGTATTTTAACCGTCAAATATCCAGTTGTGTTTGGCTTCAATGAAATTTTCTTATATAATTCATCGCTTCGTTACCCTGCGTGCAGAGTCTAGTTAAACTACACTCTGCCTAGTAGAGACCATATTACAGTTTAGTAGCCCCGCCTCCACAACGTTTACCGGTGATAGTTTGGGTAATAAATCACTTTTGACCTACGCGCTGCCCTTTCTTCCACCAATCAGCGAGCTTGAAGAAACATGCGCCAAATGCATTCTTATTAAATATGCGCATGTCATTGGTCAATTCCGGGCTCAACGATGACGTCAGAAGGAATGACCATATATAGAACGTCGGTCAAATTTGGCCGACGAACACTGATTGGCGCGGTGAGTTCACAGGTTTATTTTAGTTTGAAAGAGTGAAGACGAAGCTCTCTTTTAAGAAGTGAAGTCAAACGAATGCAAAGGGTATCGCTTCGTTGATGTTTGGTCTATTTTAATGCGGCCAATGGTAATTACACGCGATCGGCATTTAACTAACAGTGCACATTGTCACTCAATAGATCGCATTTTCATAGTTACTCACTGAGGCCCAGGAATATGTTTAAAATGTTTAAAAAGTCCCCTAGTGTACTGAGTTGGTAATGTGTGGTGTATACATGTATATTAATATCATTTACTATATTACTACAGGGTGGGCCAAAATTAAAGTTTTATTATGCTTATTTGGGAGGCCGGGTCGGTATTTGAGGTATCCAGATTTTAGGGAGAAAATAGTAAATCTGCGGAATAATGTTAATTTTTTATTTATGGAATATCATTTTGTTAGATGAATACAAGATTGTATATTTGCATATTGTGTGACTAAACTTATTGTTTATGAATTGTGGTGTTGTTTATTATCAATAAGTACTCAAAGGGGGTCTGTTAAAAGACATTAAACGTATATGTGTCGAGGATTTTATTTTCCAACAAGACATTGCCTCGTACCATAGATCAAAGGAGACATTGGCATTTCTTTGCAAACAAGGTGTCAATTTGATTGAACTCGATGCTTGGCCACCCAACAGCCCCGGTGCTAATGTGTTTGATTACCATACATGGAGCCATCTCGAGGAAATGGTACAACAAAAGCATCCAATAAACAGCATTGATGAGCTGAAACAAAATTCTAAAGTGCTGAAAGGAATTGCAACAGAAATCTCTCAATAAGGCTATTGATAGATTGCGCTACCACTTGAAGCTTATTGTTGATGCAGAGGGGAGGGGGTGGGGTACATTGAGCAATTGTTAAAATTGTTTAAATAAATAAAGTGTAAAATGTCATTAAACAACATTGAAATTCATAAACAATAAATGTAGTCACACGATGATGCAAATATCAATATCCAAGCATGCATTCACCTAACAAAAGAATGATATTCTATAAATAAAAAATTAACATAATCCCGCAGATTTACTATTTTCTCCCTAAAATCTAGAGACCCTAAATAGCAGCCCGGCCTCCCAAATAAGTATAATAAAACTTTATTATTGATTTCATGACAAAGTGTTATATACTAAATTGTTTGAAATTGTATAACCTTTAAAATGATATGAGAGTCTATGTACCATATTGAATGTAACTATTTTTATGCTGATTTGAATTTGGGTATTGGTTTTTTTTGGCCCACCCTGTATATAACTTACATTGAATAAGAATAAGACTGATTTTTTATTAATAAGAATAAGACTGATTTTTTATTAATGACTGTATACCCGGGCCTCAGGTTACTCAGTTCGGTAGATATGGAAGGAATTGAAACCAGTGACCGTCACTACTGGATAAGGTAAAACAGCCCTAATTCACGTCAACATACTAGTAAATGGGCAAACCTGAGGCCTTGGCATACGATATAAAATGTTTAATAATCCCCCAGTGTTCTAATGTTGGTAATGACTAACTGAGGCCCGGGTATACAGTCATTAATAAAAGTCCAGTCTTATTCTAATTCAATGTAAGTAATATAATATACATGTATACCCGGGCCTCAGAAGCAAACACCTGGTTTCTTATCTTGAGTTATATATTCATGTGACCTCACTGGC